AAAAATTGTTTTCTAGTAGTTAATGTGCAATTTAGTAGCTGCTCATCAGAGAGAGAATAAAAACCTATAGGTTCTTTTCAGATGCCCTTCAAGTCATAACAGAGAGATAACATAATAAAGTTTTAGGAGTACAAAATGGAATGTATTTAGAAGGGTACAAAAATATTTGTCTCTAGTGATACCTGAAGAGGGAAAATGCCACTTAGTCCACATTAATTTCACTGTAAACGCACTATGATAACACAGGTTTGAGTGCCACATTAAATGTCCCTATAGGAATATGTTTCTGATTTCAGTCTGGTTGCAGCTCAACAGAGCAGGTAGAGGGGAGGCTGGGGGTCTTGGATCACTGTAGACCTTGACACAAAGTGCATTAAGTTGGCTGATCTCTCTCAAACCATTTGATTAATTCACTCCTATTCAATCCCAAGCAAGCAAGGAGTGGAGGGACGTGACCAATGACATAATAGGCTCTGTCAAACAGCCTTGCAAAACGCCCAGACCATTTGTGGTGACAATCCTGATGCCATCAGAGCCATTATAAGCTCCCATTCAACCCAGAAACAAACATCGCTTTACTCCCAAAAAGGGAAAAGTCAGCTTTCGGGTGGATCCCCTTTGCTTTCTGTGTCAATAGTGTGGCTCAATGCTTGCTGTAAGCATTGGATTCCCTTTAGCCTTTTTAGAAGTAGCTGAGCAGAAAATAATGTTCTGCTTTTAATCACTAAAGACAAAATTATAATAATGTATGCAGGCTTGTGCCTCTAGGAATATTGCACAATTACAATTGTTATTTTATTTTGGAAATATTCAAAATTAAATTAAATAAAAAAATCAGCTTTTATTTGAAAGAAAAACAAAAGGTGCTCTTTCTTGACAATCCATTTAAAATAACAAAATAATGCTAAAAATAAATAAAAATAATTGCTGAAATCACTTTGATTTGTCTTTGCACACGTGCAGAGACGAGTGTGGTATAAATGAAAGATCTTAGAGATGCTGAAAGAGTTATATAAAAGGGTTTCTCAGCTAGTTAATATATACAGTGGCACCCAGTGGATAAGAAGTGGAGGAAATTTAGAAGCTTAAGACTATTTGCAAAGCAGAGCCTTTTTTTAAAAAAAATTGGAAGACTTGCATGCAAGGAAACTGCTCATGAGGAAAAAGAGGCTAAGACCACTGCATGTACTGTATAGCCTATAAAACTGATAAAATCCAAGGGAGCCTGTTTGTTTAGCTTGAACCTCAAATAACCTCTTAGTAGCAACATCCTATTTTTTCTCTTTCCTGCGCAAATGGATATCAAGTTTTGTTTATTTTTTAAACTTGTTATAATTTGCCAAAAAAAAAAGCCCAAATAACAAAGAATATTTCAAACAGTGAATATGGCACTGAAGTGCTACAAAATTAACCAACAAGTTGCTGCAATGCTAAAACAGAGTGTGAATGTAAGAGGTTAACTTGTTTAGTGACTTTTTTATTTTTGTAAACGTCTCCTTTTTTGCTGTCGGTAAAAACAAAAGGTGCTTCTGCTGAGCATCAACTGAAAGGTTTATATATATATATTTTTTATTTTTGTTCATTGTCATGCAAGAGCAGCACTGATTTATTTTAACCATAAAAATATAAATAATGACAGTGTGTACATTTTATATTCACTATAAATCACAGGGAATTGATTCACTCTGCAGCCCATCATGAAATAATCGTGAAACGCCTTCTCGGATCAGCCAACAAAGAGATAAAAGGTAGAGAAGTCTGTTGATAACTCGCTTTATTGTTTCTTTAACCAGTTTGAGGGAAATTCACCGTGTCCTTCTTTTCCTTCCTATCAAACCAGCTCTTTCTTCCCGTCCTTTTTCCTCGCTTGTCCCGATTTTCATCCCTTACCACACCCTGTTTGTTTTTGCCGAATAGATGGATGGAGCGATTACAAGCGCATTCCTTTGAGTATACAAGACTGTTTATTTCTTTTAGAAGGCTTTCGCTTTGGTCTGTCACTCACTCTCTGTCCTCTGTTTCTATCTCTTGAAAACTGTTGAAGCAGAATCGTTAAAGGAAAAGATTAAATAAAGTGTAGGAAAACAGTGAACGCAGGGTGAACTTCGTATTGTTTACGCATAGAAAACAAATAGTTGTTTTTGGACCTGTTACTATAATAGTAGGCTAGTATTTTTGCTGTAAGCATCAAATTCGTAAATATCCTAAATATGGAAAATGTTTCACTCTTTCTAGTTAAACTGCAATAGCCTACATTGTGTATGCAATACCAGCATCTGATGGTGATTGTAGCCTATTATAAAAATAAAAAAAATTAATTATGCTATTAATTGTGATTTTGTTTTTAACTGCAGTAACCTCTCTTTGTTGTAGAACTTGGCCGATGAAGGTTTTTACTGTAGGCTACAGGAGAAAAAAACTCGAAATTCCCCGATAGTTTGATTCTTTCAATAAAATATTCAACATTAGCACATCATTTTATAACTGATATTCATCTTAAATATTTATGGTAAAGAATTTTCGTAAATTCATTTTCAGAAGATTAAAAACAAGATTTTACTAAAAGTAAAGTCAGTAGGCTAATATTCCTTTAATATTTATTATTTAATACTTTGCGTTGAGGCTTTGTGTGACTCCATATTCATGAGCAACACGAGTGACTTTTTGGCATCATCTTAGGGTACCACTCCTATAGTGATTAGCCTAATAAAAATACATTTAAGATAATCTATATCCTATAATTTAGTAGTGTAGGGTTTATTTATTTCTGAAAAGGTATCAAAGGATCTCATAGTTCTTCATCAGAAGCCTTCTCAAATTAAAACCCGGGCAGAACATGTTGTCTCATTTAAATTCTCTCCTTGAGCTCTCTAGTGACTGGTAATGGTCCAAGAGGAGCTGACGCTTTAAAAAAAATCATCATGGTCTATTCTCATGCGCTACAGTTTGGCGAGTTTTGTAATGACCAACACATTCAGACGACATTGTAAAGAAAGAAAACAGAAAATAGCTCGATTTAATGCTGTAGCAGCAGCAGGCAGGCAGAATCATCAATTAAACATATAAAATGCATGCAAGGCAGGACGCTGCAGTCTTACTTACTCTGTGTGCTGTGCTGAGTCTCCGCAGTTTAATTACAAGCCCTAATTTCCAATCGCAGATAGTGTCAAAAAATCTGCGACTATTTCTCAGAGATTCCCTTTAACAAGTGAAAACTTAGTGTCCTCCTGCACCATTTTATACATGATGAGCCGTCAGTAATGGGATTATTAAACAAAAACGTTTCAGGCGCTGGCGTTAACCTTTTTTAATGCCTAATTAGGTTTTGCAAAGAAATAATTAGATTCTACAGTGCTTACACTGCCTATATTTTCAAATGGCATCTCCAGCAAACACATCATCCTGCGACACTCGTGCCAATAATCTGCCGATATATGCGCTACAGTTGCAGTCAGATGTTAGATTTTAAAACATGTTGGGACCAAATAAGGTGCACTTAAAGCTAAAATAATCATCGAACACAGGCAACAGGCCAACCTACAGGAACATGATAGTCAGGTCGAGTGCGCCCTCTTGTGGTAGCCTCCAAAATAACTTTAAATTGGCAACAATGCATGAAATCATTTGCAAGAAAACAAGAGCAAATGCGCAAATATTCGACTGGTCTGTTGTTTTTAATGTCTAATGTCTAAGCCTAATATTTATCAAAGCCATATAGTTCTTGATCAACGCTAAACAAGCCGGACAAGGAGCTCTAAAAATGAGGGCGTTGACTAGCGCAGGCGCACTCTGAAGTTTTTTTTCCCGTGGGTGCCGGTAGATGTGATGAGATCCTCAACTCATTAAGTTTAATTCTGTTAATCTTAACAATACTACTGCCTTAGTACATTTTAGTATAGTACAACGTTAACTTGTCTTGTCTTATGTATTTACTATGTCAGCCCTGCAAGAAGTGCCAATTAGTCCAACAAATTAAGCCTAACATGCATATAAGTAGCAGACTGGCAAACCTCCTATTGCACTCATTTTCTCACTTCTTTTAGCCAATCTCTGTCACATATAAAAATGAAAATAATAATAAGGGTGAACATGTAAGTTACCATAGTGTCTGGTTTATGGGTTTCATTAACTGTCCTCAGGCAGCATCTCAGAAAATTAGAACACGGTTTAATTTTATGCCATTCTTTTATTCTGAGTCTTAACATTTCCCAAATAATTAAAAAGAGTCACGTTTTCTATCATCATTATTATTTGTGTCATTTCTAATAAGTTAAAATTAGGATATGCTATCCGATAAAAGTGCATCGTTAGAAGAGACTTAAAAGAAGACACTGACTCAGACAGTCTAATTTTCTCAGGCAGGTTGTTCCAGAGCTTCGGGGCCCTGACAACAAAAGCTTTGTCCCCTTTCGATCTCAGCCTGGTGGAAGAGACGGGGGACCCGTGTCTGAAGAACTCAAGCAACGCAAAGGCGGGAGCAAGGCGGCTGCAGGCGCCGAGTTGCTTTTCTCAGGCTGCACAAAGTTGGAACCACTCCATTGCCTGATCTCGCGGCATTTTTCTTTGCAAATGCCGCGAGATCAGCCATTGACGTCAGCTCACAGTAAGCTGATGCAGGTACAATGTGTCCGACTTGACGGCGCCATTATTATACCCCCCGCCCTGCAGTCACCTGCAGCTCACATTAGACCATCAAGTCGGCGAAAGTCAGCCGCCGTCATCTAGAACGCACTTTTTGTTAGATTTTAGCTAAAGAAAATGTTTTTACATCCAATTTTTCATATTAGCCAAACAATCCTGAAGGAAACTCAGCATATTGAGGTATATAGCCTATAAATGAATGTATATCTCCCTCATACATTACATTTTCCTGTTCATCTGAACTGTTTAATAAAGGCAGTAATATCTAGGCTATATATATATATAAAAAGCCTTGTTGCAGTTTGTTGATTTTACCGCTAGGGGGGGGGGGGGGGGGGGGTTGCTTGTGATCCAGGACGGAAATATCGCGAGAGGTATTTCCCTTCTTGCACCAGAAGGTCAGCTGATCATTGGCGAGCAGCCTGTCAATTTTAACCTAGCACGGAACGTAATAGATCGACGCTGGAACGCTGGTAAGCTATATGCTTTATTACTGCTATATATATGAACAACTAGGGCTATTTGCTCTACACGGGCTTCTTTAAAAAGCCGGGACAGCTAACACGTAATCAGGTTAACATAAATTCACGAGCTAGCGAAAGACACGGTAGCTATCATTAGCTCACATGCTAGTAACGATGGTAACAGGGAGAATATTCTAGATCCACCTGCTGCTAACGTTAGTTGGCGTGGTGTTAGCATTAATTTACCACCGAGACAACTCTTTCCTTATTGTTTACTTATGTTTGTCTGTACTGATCCACTTTAATCAGAAGTAACGCGTTAGTTTGTGCGATTTGCATCGGTCCTCCTTTTAAAAATGAGTCATTACTTACTAAAACTAGCGAAGGCTAGTTTAGCTAGTAGCTGTATCTTCCTCCTAACATAACGTTAGGCTAGATCTTACAGACGAAATAGTCTGTTAGTTGCTTTATTGCTTTTCCTATACACATTAGTCTTATTGAGATCCATAATTTCACTTTTAAAGCCACTGTTTCTTCTACGGTTGCTCAGCTAACAGGGCTAAATTAATTTATAGGCTAACTAAGCATAAACATTTCCGGCGTCAGTTAAGTTAACTAACGTAAACATAAACGTACATTAAGTTAACTAACGTTAACTTACCTTACTAAAAAAGCAACACCAGTGATAAAAGTTTGAGAGGTAAGATACCCATCACAACCTGCAACTGTGAAACCAGTGGAAGGTTAGAGTTGAAATGATTAGTAGATCGATCTGTTGTTTGTATGAATGAATGAATGAATGAATAAATGAAAATTAATTGACAACTGTTGGTGATCGTTTGTTTAAAACTCCCAGTATTATTTAAAGCAAAAAGCATTACAGCTTAAAAGTGACGAGTTTGGGCCTTTTACAGTCAGTGATATTTTATTGTTTAAATACAGTTTCTACACCTATTCCCTTTATACATTTCATGATCTTTACACCCTGCACCATTTTCTTATTGTCTGCAATTTTGTTGTTGTTTATATCTGTTTATATGTACATAGTGGCTTAATGTTTATGTTTACATTATCAAGCCTTTTTGTGCGTTTTTTGTTAGATATATGTGTACCTTTTTCTGTGTATTTACACTGAGAGCAATGCAAAAACGAACTCAAGGAGTGTACATATACCTGGCTAATAAAACTGATTCTTATATTTGGACTGTTTGTCAGATAAACAATCAATATGCCTATACTGCTTTGGAAATTAGTTGGGTGTTATTGGCTATTTCCTGACAAAAGTATAGTTGACTAATTAATCAATAAAGACAACAATAGTTAGTAGCAGTCCAAGGAAGGATTTGTCACAACTAACTAGTGTAATCTTTTTAATGTAGGTATGATGTCTGTTGGTATGACTAGTCAGTATTGCTTCATGATTTGACGTTTTTTTCCAACAGAGCCTCTCACACTCCCAAAGATGGCTGACGCAAACCAACAAAGTCCTCCTCCCCAGCTGGGGCCTGTGGTAAGTTTGACCCACACAGTTACATCTTTAAACTATTTCTCACCTTGTAAGGTCTACTCTGCTTATTCTACATACAGAGATACTCATCACAGGGAGTACTCCTACAAAAAGCGTTTGTATACTGTCTGTGGGTCTGGAGGGAGAAAGTAGCCTAATTTCTTTACAGATGTATCCAAATGTTGAGGAAACCTCAGTATTCAGAGTTTAATTGTAATAAAATCATCTTATGTTAAACATTAAGAGTTTCTCAAAGGTGGTATTTATTTCAGAGCAATAGTTCTGGATTGTTTTATAATATGCAGGTGTTTCTTGAGATTGTGTCCACCACTTACAAGTACATAGGTCATCTTATCTGAAATACAAAAGGGTTTATGTTTTTCACTTAGTACTGCATAACTGTAGCACTGTTATGTTCCTCAGGCAAAAACAATCAAGGATTCCATCTTGTCTAATTGTCTGGATTTCTTACTGAAAACGGAATAAAAGGCTTTGGTCTGACAAAACAAGACATTTGAAGAGTCACGTTTAGCCATTTTCCGATGTTATCACAACCCTATTTTATTTGATTCTGACTTGGGATAAATGTAAATTTGTCACCTTTCTCCCTCCTTCAAACTCTATATTCAAACTAGTCACTTTATGTAAAACCTGTTTGAAATATAAAGATGGCTTTACTCTGGTGATGTCATCTGAAGGACCAGGGTCTTCATGGGTTACAGCTGCATCTTGTCTCCTGACTTTTGAAGAGAGGTTGATTTACAATTAACTGCTAGATTCAATTAAGTTTTTTTTATTAGTTTGGCTGGGTTATGCTGATCGTTGAGAGAACACGAGTGAAGCTCTGAGCCTTTCAGTAAATCAGTTTTCAGTATACAGAAGAAAACAGAAGCCCCCATCCTGTCATTTTAAATGCCCAAATGCTAAAACGGCAAATCCTACTACCTAACAGGTGTACCAGCACTTTGCCTGAAACCCACTCACTCATCATGTTATATCATACGTGATGAAGTTTCTTCAACACTTAGGATTGTGTTTCCTTCTATTTATGTGCCTAAAACTCCCAAATATTTTCTTTCTCTCTTCCACAGCAATTTTTAATGAGTAACAAGCTAGAAACTGCGATGTGGCTTTCACGGCTCTTCACCGTCTACTGCTCCGTAATGTTTATTCTACCAGTTTTGGGGTGAGTTAATTCAGTGACTATTTTAAAGTTTTATTGGTAAGAACACTGACAGCAACACATACTGCCTTCACCATATTTTACTTTCTTCCCTCCCCGAATATGATGTGAGAATATTTGTGACTGCCTGTGTGTTTCAGACCCTATGCAGCAGCTAACTTCTACCAGCGAGCCTTGTTAGCGAACGCCCTCACAAGTGCCCTTCGCTTGCACCAAAGGCTACCACGCTTTCAGTTGAGCAGAGCTTTCCTGGCCCAGGCTCTTCAGGAGGATAGCTGCCATTACCTGCTCTACTCACTCATCCTGGTCAACTCCTACCCCATCACAAGTATCCTTTCCCCTTCAAATATGAGGAAAAGAGAAGAGCGATTATAGTGCTGTGTATCTTGTTAAGCATAAAATCATACAGAGATATTGATTACAAAAGAGTTCAAGTGTAGGCTCCCATTGTGTCGCTCACATTTTCTTAAAGACTGCCTGCTAGGAATGCTTGACTATTATCCTTATTTAAAAGGTTTAAATAAAATATAAGTCACTGTGTCACTGTGGGTGCAGCTACAACGCTAATGTGTAGTGGTATCTGTTTTATTGTTTATTTAAAAACTATTCAGTGATTCACTTTTATGATTCTGAGCAACACTATCGTAAACTTCAAGCTACTTTTTTCTCTAATGAATCTCTGATTTTTACTCAGATTTCTATTTTGCTTGTTGTGATTTTGTTAAAGACTGTATGTATGGATGCACATTCAGTAGTCCTGATTAGTATCACATGAAAGTGCATGATGGACTGCACTGGGACTTTCAAGAGGATTCAACATATAGCTAATGCTTCAGTATCATGTCTCATCATTTAAAGTACTAATAACTGCACTAAATTATTGTGGGAGGTTTATTATTTGTCTTTTTACGTTGATCCTTAACGCTTGTCTAGTGAGCATCTTCCCAGTCTTTCTCTTCTCCTTGCTTCATGCAACTACCTACACAAAGAAAGTCCTTGATGTGAGTATAAGGCAGCGGTGACCTTCTGTGACTTTTGAGGATGTTAATTAAAAATGTATGACAGAAAGCCTTTTGCTGAACATTATTTAACCCCCAGGTGGAAAATTGTCACCATCCAAATAGTGTTTTAATTATCTATTCAATCAACCAGCCATTGCCCAGAGACCCAAATTCAATAAAACGTAATCAAGTGGATGATATATAATTTGATTACCATTTTATAGTCACTTCTCTGTATCAATATTTCATGTAAACTTTATAAACTTTCTGATTGTTTTTTTTTATCTTTCTTTGCAGTCTGTGGGTCCCAGCAGCCTGATGTTCATCAGAAACCTCCTGGACAAACTTACTTCCAATCAGCAGAACATCCTGAAGTTCATCGCCTGCAATGAGATCTTTTTGATGCCAGCCACTGTTTTTATGCTCTTCAGGTAAGCACACATGACATGATTTCTTATTATCATTTACATTGACCCTGTGGTGGAATAGCAGATTGTGTTCTTAGACATTTTTCTGCTTATGCAACCATCAGCTTATTTATCTCATGGAGCCAAAAGTACTTGAGACAAATTATGAGCAACAAAACCCACCACTTTTCCGTCAAACTAAAATGTGCAAGTACACGAAATTACAATTCCAGTTACCAAATTTACTAGAGTCTTTGTGAATTGTATCCCAACTACCAATGCCTGTCAACTGATTAATATTCATATGCAAATTTTCAAGGTAACCTACTGAGGTACAAAGAGGACAGATTGGATTGCATTAGATTATTCAGATGTTCAGTTTGCTTGTTATTGCAGTTTTAGATTAGAAAAGTGCTGAATAAACAAAGTTTATTATTAAAACACTAAACAATTGTGTAATACCAGTTTTCACTTATTCATATTGTAACAGCGGCCAGGGGAGCTTGCTGTTGCCTTTCATTTACTACAGATTTCTCACTCTCCGCTACACATCCAGAAGAAACCCATACTGCCGGTAAGATGTTAAATAATACAATATTGTAACAAAGCAGCACAGGTATTTATGTAATGTGTAAAGCTAATATGCATCAAGCTAGTCATTATTGAAGAATCAGGGGTGAAGAAAACCTCAAACTTTATTTAAATTCCTCAAAGATTTTTGCTGCTGCTTAATTAATACATTCATCTGTTTTATTGCAAACCAAAATTAAATGAAAACCCCAGAAAGTGAAGAAATGTCATGTTTCCAGCCACACATACAGTGAGGAAAATAAGTATTTGAACACCCTGCTATTTTGCAAAATCTCCCACTTAGAAATCATGGAGGGGTCTGAAATCGTCATCGTAGGTGCATGTCCACTGTGAGACATAATCTAAAAAAAATCCAGAAATCACAATGTATGATTTTTTTAACTATTTATTTGTATGATACAGCTGCAAATAAGTATTTGAACACCTGAGAAAATCAATGTTAATATTTGGTACAGTAGCCTTTGTTTGCAATTACAGAGGTCAAACGTTTCCTGTAGTTTTTCACCAGGTTTGCACACACTGCAGGAGGGATTTTGGCCCACTCCTCCACACAGATCTTCTCTAGATCAGTCAGGTTTCTGGGCTGTCGCTGAGAAACAGAGTTTGAGCTCCCTCCAAAGATTCTCTATTGGGTTTAGGTCTGGAGACTGGCTAGGCCACGCCAGAACCTTGATATGCTTCTTACAGAGCCACTCCTTGGTTATCCTGGCTGTGTGCTTCGGGTCATTGTCATGTTGGAAGACCCAGCCTCGACCCATCTTCAGTGCTCTAACTGAGGGAAGGAGGTTGTTCCCCAAAATCTCGCAATACATGGCCCCGGTCATCCTCTCCTTAATACAGTGCAGTCGCCCTGTCCCATGTGCAGAAAAACACCCCCAAAGCATGATGCTACCACCCCCATGCTTCACAGTAGGGATGGTGTTCTTGGGATGGTACTCATCATTCTTCTTCCTCCAAACACGGTTAGTGGAATTATGACCAAAAAGTTCTATTTTGGTCTCATCTGACCACATGACTTTCTCCCATGACTCCTCTGGATCATCCAAATGGTCATTGGCAAACTGAAGACGGGCCTTGACATGTGCTGGTTTAAGCAGGGGAACCTTCCGTGCCATGCGTGATTTCAAACCATGACGTCTTAGTGTATTACCAACAGTAACCTTGGAAAAGGTGGTCCCAGCTCTTTTCAGGTCATTGACCAGCTCCTCCCGTGTAGTTCTGGGCTGATTTCTCACCTTTCTTAGGATCACTGAGACCCCACGAGGTGAGATCTTGCATGGAGCCCCAGTCCGAGGGAGACTGACGGTCATGTTTAGCTTCTTCCATTTTCTAATGATTGCTCCAACAGTGGACCTTTTATCACCAAGCTGCTTGGCAATTTCCCCGTAGCCCTTTCCAGCCTTGTGGAGTTGTACAATTTTGTCTCTAGTGTCTTTGGACAGCTCTTTGGTCTTGGCCATGTTAGTAGTTGGATTCTTACTGATTGTATGGGGTGGACATGTGTCTTTATGCAGCTAACGACCTCAAACAGGTGCATCTAATTTAGGATAATAAATGGAGTGGAGGTGGACATTTTGAAGGCAGACTAACAGGTCTTTGAGAGTCAGAATTCTAGCTGATAGACAGGTGTTCAAATACTTATTTGCAACTGTATCATACAAATAAATAGTTAAAAAATCATACATTGTGATTTCTGGATTTTCTTTTTTAGATTATGTCTCTCACAGTGGACATGCACCTACGATGACAATTTCAGACCCCTCCATGATTTCTAAGTGGGAGAACTTGCAAAATAGCAGGGTGTTCAAATACTTTTTTTCCTCACTGTATGTCTGTACCTTGCATTCATGGGAGCCAATAATTCAGCTAGTCTGATATTATCGGCTCATTAGCTCAGCTTAGATACAGCATAGCGGTATCGGCATAAATTGGCCGAAAAGGTACACGAAATTCCAGTGCAGAAAAGCCAGAAATATGTCACAAAACTGTCACAATTACATTGTTTTGTCCATGAGTGTCAAATACAGTCTTTTTTTCTAAAATAAAACTGATTGGAAAATATAACTAGACAAAAAATAGCATGATGCATTGAAAATTTAACCAGAATACTTTTTTTGCTTTGAGTTGTTCCCATACACAGAAATGTGATTGTACTAAACTTGTGGACTGCAGAGTCATACAATCTGTAACAAACCTTAAAATGACTTAAGTGACTTTACTTGGTATTAAACAAATCTGTTTCCACTCCAGCACCTTGTTCACAGAGCTGCGAATTCTTCTGGAGCACTTCATCATGAAGCCTGCCTGCCCCATCTTCTTCAGGAGGATGTGCCTCAGCAGTATCGCCTTCATCAGCCGTCTCGCCCCCACGGGCGTCTGATTACACTACATAAAAGATTTGTTTTCTTTATATTTTGTTTTTCCACCATTTAGGATTTGACTTAAACTTTGATGGGGAAAGACATTGCCATCAACAGAAGGAACTGTTTTTTGAATGTCAACTTTACAGTCTGTACTCCAACATCTCTGTATATTTGAGTGCAGTTGAGGACCAGCCCTTAATGCACTGAAGTCTCATGGTGATATTTCTTTTCCCATCTTCTTAATGTGACCTCATTCAAGCAGTGGACATCCCTCACTTTCTGTTCACTGAATGGAGCGCAGTAGACCAGCTGTGTTCTGTATGTATCGGCTGTTATTATTTTTTCCTTTTATGTCCTTATTTATTCATGAAAATTGCTTATTCTATGATGGAACATTAACATTCTGAGATTAGTAACTTAAATGAAAATATGCTCATACATAGTTAAAAATGTTCTCTTTTTTTTTTTTTTAATGATCATGTTGTTCTTGGATGGATGGAGGATGGGGTTAGTTTGCGGTTTCTACCTAGTCCGATATCGTTTTTTTATGTGCAAAGCATCTGATGCTCTGATTTGTCTAAAAGCCTAACTTTAAATGTATTCTATCAATGCCATCAACTCACTCTTAACAACATGCACAATCTGTGTAGGTATGATGTCAAAATGGGTGTTAAATTGAGAAACAAGATATCTGCTGTATTTTATAGAATATTTTAAGGTATCAGACATTTTGCTGTAGGGTTCATATTTGAAATGAGCTGCACAACGCATGTCATTCTTTTGAATGCGTCCTGGCCTTGTTTCTCAGTTTAAAAGCTGTTTTGAATTTGTTTCATTCATTTGTTAATATGTAGTTTTCTTGCTTCATGCATGCTCACATTTCTTTCTGCCATGTTTAATGTGTTTATTTGCCTACAGACAAACCACATTTTTATGACAAGAATAAAATGATCTCTTAATTAAACCAATAAAATATTAAAGAACAGTAATCTGGTTTGTGCATATGATTTGTTTTAATAACTATAGTCAGTCTTTAACTCATATTGAACAAATCTTATACTAATGAACTACAATATCAGCCATCCATTAAATATATTTTGCTGACAAATGTGTTTTGTTCAAAATATCTGAGTGGGGAAGTATATTCTTAAAATTACCAAACAACCTTTTTACTCAAGTTCATTTACTCTAACAGCTATCAATTCCATCTAATGGGTATTGTTGGATACATTTATAAAACAATTTATCGTTAAGTTAAAAGATATAATTTACTTTAATTCTGTTATAGTGTCGTGTGAAGCATGTATCACAATATGCATGCATATAGGGACACTTCTACTGTGCACTTGTCCTATGTGTAGACAAAGTCAGCAAAATGGAGTATTATAAACTTTGTAAATATAGAATTTATGGCAGAACTGTTGTATTGAATTGCATTCCATTGTACAGGTTGAACTTATGCAGTGGCCACTGTGGGTGTCCCAAAGAGAGAGAGAGAAGACAGAAAACTGAAGAGAAACTCAAAATAATATAGAAAATAATTGAATATTGTTGTTTGAATGAACTTACTGTAATTTCTTATTATTATTATTATTATTATCATTTTTGTTATTTTGTTATTTTAATAATTATTCCTTAGAAAAATGCTACTAGTCAAAAAGCAAGTCATATTTTTACTGTAAGCTATAACGTGAGGCCTATTTTTGTTTTAGTTTATTATTTATATATTATAGTGTTTATATGTGACTTTCTGCATTGGCAACATTGTTTACTAGAATATTCATGTCAATAAAGCATCTTCAGTCATCTTCAGAGAGTTTGTACGAGTCAACCAATCAGGACGCAGCTTCAATGTTTGGCATTCTCATCCAATGGTGTCACGGCTTGCACAGCTTGTTACGTTTGCCGCGTTGCTACTGGCGACGTGTGCTGCGTTTATCTCGTTGTATAGCTTCATGCCTAATATTCACGTTAAAATCGGTGTTTAGTTCCGTATTACAAACATACAGACAGTGACCCGCTTCTGGTGTTTTGATGTCGCTCGGGAGATTTAGTTAAAGATGATAATATCTATTCTCGTAGACAGTTGGCGTACGAACAAATCGGGTTAGCCAATTAGCCTACTAGCTAACGTTAGCACGTTGAGCTAATCTCCTTGCCTTAGTTAATCCCAGTCTCTCTTCACCATTATTATCGTCATGTAATTCGGTTGGAAATATTACCAACAACGTGTGGCTCGCACATGGCTGAGATGGACTGTAACTGAACGGTCCCTGCAGTTTTATGACCGGATAAGATTTGTTTACCCGTACTTGTTCCCCCCTCTGCAAGATAAGACACGAGAAAAAAGATGGAGATCCACTTAAATCGAGTTGATTATATCCAGGTAACGCAAAGACACACACTTTGTTTGGGTTATGTTGTTCTTTTAAAAGTTTTTTTTTCTGATTTTGAACAGTTACTGTCGATTCAGGGTGTTAAGGAACTTTTTTCCCTCTGTCATTTTTTGTTATGATACAATTGCCTCTGTTTTGTCCTCTCAGGTTGGTGTGACATCCCAGAAAACTATGAGGCTGCTTCCGGCATTGGGTAAAAAGGCAACCCAAAAGGTATTGTTAATCTTTGAGAACAATGCCTGTGCCTAACCCCCTAGCTTAAATTTACTATTATTTAATTTATTTTATGTTACCATACCTAATTATCTGCTAGGTTCTATGTGTGTATTATGAAGGGCTTACAAACTTATTTCGTTGTACAACCATGTGTTGTATAATGATAATAAAAACTTTGTAGCATTGTATTTTCTTCTAATTAAATGGTTTCATCCTACAGCATCATGGTTCTTGGTTGTTGTCTCTTTGTTTCAGGTTGCTATTGCTGACCATGATGGTATACTGACATGTTTTGGGATGAAGAAAGGAGAAGCAGTGGTGTGTGTCCTGGTTAAGATTTTTCTTTCCTTATCGTACATCCAACTGGATCTTAATGTGCTGAATACCACTTTCTAATGGCAAGAAATATTACTCTGTTTCAGCCCGTGTTTAAAACACTTCCAGGGCAGAAAATAGCCAGAATAGACCTCGGAGGAGCTGCGGGAACTCCACAGGAGAAGATCTTTGCTTGTTCTGGTTCTCAGGTCCGAGGATTCACCAAGAAAGGCAAACAGTTCCTCACCTTTGAAGCCAACCTCACCGAGAGCATTAACGCCATGTAGGAACCAATTCTCCCCTTTTTGATTGACTTACTTTGCTTGATTGACTCATGCAAAACTGTGTAATTTTCAATGTGTCGATCGATGTTGGTTATGTCTTTTCCAGGCATGTCTCAGGCGCTGACCTTTTTGTGTGTGCAAGTTACATCTACAACCACTACTGTGACTGCAAAGACCAAGACTACTACCTCTCTGGGGACAAAATCAATGATATCACATGTTTGTCTTTAGAAAATCTGACTCACCTCGTCCCGGTCCTTGCATGCCAAGATCGGGTTCTCAGAGTCTTGAAGGTAGACAAAGATTATATTTACTGTTATGATTTTTATACAGTGAATTGTTCTACCTTAAACAATTTGATGATATTTATTATTCTATGTGTCTTTTTTATTCCGTAGGGATCTGAGCTTGCCTATGACATTGAAGTCCCTGGTCCTCCCTCTGTCTTGGAAGTGTACAACAGAGATGGAGGCAAGTGTACTAGAACAACATAAAACATAAGAGTGCTTAATACAGAACAGATCTAACATAACTACTCTGCAGGAGAGGAAATCCTCTATGGAACTACAGATGGCAAAATAGGACTGGTCCAGATCGGGGAGCGCTCAGCTGCTACCAAATGGGAGATCAATAATGACAAAAAGAAAGGAGGTATGTTGTTTACATGACCATACAAGGGTTTTGCATGTATTAGCCAATTATATACAAATCACTAATATGTTAGATTAATACCAACCACTTTCCGAAGTATATGAATATGAAGTTGCAGAAGGTGGGAAAAACATAATAATAAATAATTAATCTTCCTTTGCAAACGGTCACTGTTTTAGGTATATACAATGTCTTAGATTTGCACTTTTCTGTCTCCCATCAGGGATACTGTGCATTGACACATATGACATTATTGGAGACGGAGTGAATGACATTCTGGTGGGCAGGGATGATGGAACGGTTGAGGTCTATGGTTTCGACAGCACCAGTGAGCCCACATTACGCTTTGAGCATGTGAGTTTATGTCTAGCACAACATTAAATGTGGAGAATTTACTCACTCCAATTTTCATTCCAATTCACTTTAATTTGCAGCGTTCAAATGCTGGGAAACCATATTATTTAGAAAAGCTGTGTCCACTCAGAATACAAATTAATATATTGTTAAGCCACAGATTCAGTTTCAAATATTCTTCTTGTGTGCATATCATGCAGCCATACTATGCTACATCCAAAATGTTTAGCTTAACTTTAGAAAAGCCAAGCCTGTATGTTTCTCAATTGCTTTTTCATACCAAGATCTATTCAAGGAAATAATAGCTGACATTTAAATAGTATTGGTCATATTTTTCCCATGTGAATTGATACCTTGCTGGTTGTTTCTTAGTTGCCCAAGTGTCATTTATGTATTGCATGATTGATACTGATCATTGGCCAAAGTTTCCTGTTTTTCCTCATTTCAGGTGTTGTCAGAGAGTGTGACTTCCATCCAGGGTGGCTGCGTAGGGAAGGAATCTTATGATGAGGTCTTGACTGCCACTTACGCAGGTTAGTTTTTTTTATGCACCTAGTATTCCCAAATATTCTCTCAGAGAAGAAAATGTGTCTGATGTCCTGCCTGTAACTTCATTCTTGATTAAAGAGATACAATAATTTCTTGCACTGTCTGACATGTAGTAAGTCTTCCCTAAAACCCAGCAGTTAATGTTAAAATATACAGTTGTAGAAAGAAATCTGGTACGTAGAGCAGGGGTTTTCAATTCAGTGTGAGGCGGGCCTCCCTAGAGGGTGCTCCAAACAGTTTCAGGGGAGGCTCAGTGAATGGAAGTGAAACAATATTACATTACTTTATTAGTTAGCATTAGTTATCAAAATGAGATCACATAGAATAGCCTACTTGTGTGAGAGTTCAGAGATACAGTAGTTTTTGGGAACTGTCCCCCCCCCCCCCCCCCTTCATAGTCAGAAACTAATAAATGCCTTAGGACAGACCTTTTTTAAAGCTATTTGGCAAACAGCAATATTGGGCTGTTTTGGCTCAAATGTTGAGTGTCTATGGGTTCAAATAATATAATCATGATCCCATAGGCATCCAGGAATTGAGCAAAACTTACTAAGTAAACTAAAGATGTGGGGAGGGGGCGCCGTTTCCCAAGCTTTGTCTGAGGAGAGGCCTGAAGTCTCAGACTAAAACCCCTAATGTAGAGTATATTCTGCATTATTGTCATTTCCTCTTTCAGGGTGGGTGACTGGTTTGACTACTGAGCCCCAGAAGGCTGAGGCTGGCCCCGGAGACGAGATCAGGATGAGTAAGGAGATTCAGTCCAAAGTAGAAGCACTCAGGTATCAGCAAATGATTGATTTATTTCTCATTTGACAGTCTGTTCTTGTGCTTTTCGTTTGGTTTACTATGTAATGGTTAAAGAACCAATCAAATCAAATAATTTTGTTCCCTTCCAGGGCAGAGCTGGAGCAGCTGCAGGTCAAAGTCCTGCAGGGCCGTGAGCAGTACCAGCAGACCTCTCAGTCGAGCACAGCCATCTCTGCTGTGCCTTTCTTCAACATCAATGACAAGTTCACCCTCTGCCAGGATGATGCCAGCTACAGCCTCACTCTTGAGGTGCAGACGGCCATCGACAATCTGCTGCTCCAGGTATGTTCATTGAATAAACATCTTGAATCCCATGCTGCAGACATAAACATGCAAAATGTAACTTAAAAATGAATCTCCTTTGCAGAGTGACGTCCCCATAGACCTGCTGGATGTGGATAAGAACTCAGCTGTTGTCAGTTTCAGTGAATGTGATTCAGAGGTGAGCTGTGAAAACTCTTTCTATACAGGATAAACGTACTGTACAAATAAAGTCACTCCTCGAGGCCTTACTCCCTTATTCTGTTTACAGCAGCCTAATGGGAACTTCCTTTTGGCTACGTACAGATGTCAGGCTAACACAACCAGACTTGAGCTCAAGGTATCATTTGCAACAAATCTCTGCATATTGTGTTACTCCTACAACTTTCATAAAGAGACAATACTATAGTTGGCCATTATTTGTGTAATTATGGATGCTTTGACGTCACAGATGGTACTGAGCTGTGTCTTATGCTGATTGCATCAATCACTTTACCGAAAGTAGAAACATTCCTATAGGATTATACAGCTGTTGTATATTTTGAAATAGCCACCCATTATATTAGGTCAAACTATTTGACGATGCACTGCAGAAAAATGTGTTTCATCCAGAATAACTGTCCTAGGTGAGATCCATCGAGGGACAGTATGGGACCCTGCAGGCTTACATTACCCCCAGACTGCAACCCAAGACATGCCAGGTCCGCCAGTACCAGATCAAACCTCTGTCCCTCCACCAGCGGACGCACAGCATAGACCAAGAGAGGTAAAGACTTCAACAAAAATGGATGTAAGAATATAATGGATAAGAATAGTCTAATTTATCTTTAGGATTCAATTGCTATCTTAAAGCTTTCTGAAGTGTTATTCTTGGGTTTTTCAAAACTCCAAGGCAAAGGTTTAATTAGTGTTGATTCCCAAAATGAGGTTAATATCACCTCCACTGGAATAATAGCCTGGTTTCTGACTTCTTTGTTGCTGCCCACATCAGATATGTTAAGAATAAATGACGTTAAATGAAACTTAAGTCTGATTATCAGGTTACTGGAGAGGTGGGTTCAGGCTGGATTTTAAAGCACAATAGGCATTATAACTAAAACTAGTAAAATAGTATTTAACAGGTTGCTGAGAATTGTGTTTTGTTTTCAATAATGCATCATAAAAATCTTTCACTTTTTTTCTCATGATTTTAACCTTACAAAATATCTTTGTCTGTCTCTTACTTTGTGTCTCCGTCTATCATGCAGACCCATGAACAGGCTCAGTCTGGTGGGACAGTTCAGTTTTGCTGAGATCCACTCCTGGGTGGTCTTTTGTTTGCCGGAGGTGCCAGAGAAAACTCCAGCAGCAGAGAGCATCACTTTCTATTTTCATAACACTTTTCTTGGGACACAGCTTGAAGCCACCTACTGGTAAATATTAGCCATATAGTAGAAACAGCCCTTATAGGATTGCATGTACATTTTTAGAGATTGTGAGATAACTGACAAGGGGTTGTAAAATTTCATATACTTGCTGTTGCCCCTAGAAAGCTGACGTTGAAATGTTATTTCAACAGTTGATTAAAAACGTTCAGAGGGGATTTCTGTTATAATCTACTTGGCATCAAACGTGTTGTTTTTTCTGAATTTGTAATTTTAGTAAAGGAGAGGGTCACTTCAGGTCAGACAACATCTCCACCATCTCCATACTGAGTGATGTACTCTCTAAAGAAGCTACCAAGAGGAAAATCAATCTTAACATTTCATATGGTATGTCTTAATCATTTTCAGTGGCTGCTTACAAAATATTTCCAGGGACTAATCTCTAGTAAATTAAATCATGTGAAACTAGCTTTGTTTGTTTGTTAATCTTCTAGATATTAATGACGACTCTGTAAGCCACACCCTGAAGATGATACATCCAAAGCTGGAGTACCAGTTGTTGTTGGCTAGAAAAGTTCAGCTTATCGATGCACTCAAAGTAAGTATTGGTGTCGTTGGACAGGAAAATTCCACTCTGAAGTTGAATCATTTCTGTTTAAATACATTCACTGTGCATGTCAACAAGCCCAGCTTTGGTTGTAAATTAAAAGTTCTCACCGAGCCTCTCAGGGCTGTGAACAGATCTTTTTGGGAATTGCTTATTTTAATCACTTACTTACCTGTACCCCACTTCCTCTGTGATTTTTCTCATTGGTAGGAGCTTCAGGTTCATGAGGGGAACGCTGACTTCCTCATCCCAGAGTATCGCAACATCTTGGATGAGTCCACTAATCTCCTAGAGGAGTACAAGAAGCAGCCAGCGCACCTTGAGAGGCTTTATGGTGCAGCATTATCATTGCATTTCACTGACACTCTTATTCAGAGACACTTTCAATTAACTGATTGTCCTTCATTGACAGGATTACTGTTACCCAAAAGTAAAGCTCTACGATATGAGACTGACATTATGATGTAGAGCTTGTTGTCTGGTAGTAACTAATATTTTTTTGTTTCTTTTTCTTCCGTGTAGGAATGATCACAGACCTCTTCATCGACAAATTCAAGTTCAAAGGCCAGAATGTGAAAACCAAGGTGTCTTCTTTGCTGGAGATACTTGATAATTATGACTTAAATTCTCTGTTAAACTTTTTCAACGAGGTATGATATCATGTAGATCAGAGGGTATTTATTTACTTGTCTTTGAGGGTCTTTATTTGTGCTATTTTTGTATTGTAAATACAAAAATACGTTTTGTTTTATGATAGTTACAAGGAATGTCGATGTCATGTTGTCGTTACGTCATTTAGTTTGTCCTACCTATGGTGTACAAAATTTAAATATGTATCTCTATAAACAAGAGTGGTGATTAATAAACCACTACAAGGTTGCCAGGATAGTGCAGGTTCCTATTTGTATTAGTGGCTAAGCTTTGGTTTATATTTGTAATTTCAGTGACCAAATTTAAGTCAGGTAAAAAGCACAAATGTACTTTTTTATGTCATTATTACCATAGGACTGAGTTCAGGCTCTTGAAATAGAAAATTTGAGATTATTTTTATGGTTAAAAATGTACTATTCATCTTTCTAGGGGCTGATGGAAACACAGTCAACAAATACTACTAAGAATATGAAATTATAAATGTAGAAAACAGCTTGTATGATACCATGAACTATGAGATAAATGTTGAATAATTAATAAAAAACAATACGCACAAGACGTCTTCATTAAATTATTACATCTGCAATCCCTGAATTAGAAAATTGATGTGAATAAATCAATTCCCATACTTGTCGTGCTAATATTTCTATCCTCTTGACACTTATATGAATTTAGCAACTATAAGCATCAAGGTGGTACAGCACTGTAACTGCATCACAGAAATAGACAGTGGAAGCAGATAGAAAGTAACTAAGTACATCTACTTAAATTACTCAAGTAGTATGTACGATTTTGACTTAAGTTTTTCTATGTTATGCTACTATGTAATGTTGCATTATATTTTAGAATAAAAATTGTGTACTCTTTCACTTGTTTGACAGCTTTAGTTTCAGTTTATGTAATATGATGCAATTTTAAAGATTAAACCACCCAACACAGAATATAATGTGGTTAAAATTAGCCCCAACAACCAACTACAACATTGAAAAGATTCCTTAATATTAATGAATCAAAAAGGATAATCAAATAACATATAATAATATAGCACCAACAGATGCTATTTGTCTGCATTATGAGCACTTTAAATATATATTTTGCCGGTGCTGCTTCTGTAGTACATTTTTATGTTGTGGTAGCTACTAAAGATGAAATGGTGGGTGTTTGGCATCATCATCATCATGATTCAAATAACTAACAAATAATAACGTTTTTATTATGTGAGAAAATTAAATTAAAATACAGACGTGTCCTTGTATTGTGTGAGCACTTTACCGCAGCTGTTACTCCCATATAACGTTTGACCATATGCGACTTTTACATTCAAATGTGTTCAACCGGTGTTATGCCGAGTTTTGCCTGCCTGCCGAGAATTGCATGCACCTCCAAATACTGCTTTTAAACGCAATACTATTCTTTGTGGGGTTTATCAATGGTGATAAATGATTAGAAGTATATATTTTATGAACGTTTAGAGTCTTTAATATTTTAATAAACTTAGTAGAAGTACCATTCCTTGAGATTCAGTAAATATATGTGGTGATAACCGCGTTTGATCAATGAGCACAGCAAAGTGTCTGAAAAGGAGCTAAAGAGGTGGATGCATAATCCGGCAGCACAGATTTTGTGGGTCACCGGCCGAGACTTGCATCCACTTCTTTTCTTACCATAAATGACCGTTATCACTCGCGAGGTGCATGCAATTCTCAGCAGGCAAGCAGAATTCGGCACAACACCTGTTTTGAATTTGTAATCACGCGAACATTGTATTCTTTCGGCTGCCGTACGTCTGTGTCGTCACCATCTGTGCGGCCTGTGATTGGTCCGTTTCAATCCTCGCGGGCTACTTGAACTGAGAGAAAGCAAAGCAACATCTCTGCATGTTTCTGAGTAAAGGGACTGAGGCTAGCTGGCTTGTTTGTAGGTTGGCTATTGTCACGTTCATCTTGGAACTCACGAATATGGCGACTTAAGAACACGCTTTACTACTGTAGATTTTGCAGCCGTGCACTTTCTATTTGCTTTGTTTTGCTCTGCAGTTCCAAGTGTCGTTGCCATCTCAACAGCTTAGTTTTGATTGTGAACGATTCTTTAACCTTCCTCGGCAAGGTAGCTGCTAATACTAGCCTTGGTATAACTGTCCACGAATGATCTTTTAAAACTTTTTTTTAAAAACTTTTTCATTTACGAGAGCGCACAGCAGCTGTAACGTTAGTAGCATAACGTTACCTCGGTAAGCAAACGGAGCTAAGTTGGGACTTTTTGTTTTGAGGGGAAACATGTCCGGGGCTAACAGAGGACAGGGAAGCGCGGCTAGTGAGTATCACAACCGAGAAAATGTGCAGTCAAGACTGAGAGGCTCGCTGAAACCCCGAGCTGCTGCAAACGAAAACCAAGAGAACCATCCACCGAAACAAGCAGCCAACAGAACCGTCCTGGGAGCCTTGCAGAACAATCAGCGGAGCAAAGCCCAGAATCAGCGCGGCACAAAACAGGTTCGTTTAGGCAACGATGCTAAATAGCTCGCCTAGCTAGTGTCTGCTAGTGATGATCGTAGTTAACGATGGGGTGTCATTGTAATTTTTGGAGGCAACTATGGCTAATACTCGCATTTCGGGTAAATTGTCTTTTGAAGCTATCTTGCAAACTTTCCAATTTAAATGTAACTTAGCTATAGCTAACTTACGCCTACTAACGTTACCCAGGTTGTCCGCCATTTTAATCTCGCCAGTAGTGAATCAATTTATATATTGCTGCGTTAAACTGCTTTAATTAGAAACCTAACTTGGGGATATATACTCTTTAATTACGGTTGTGTATAAGGGCTCCTCCTGCCTTCCCAAGGTTTTTTTATTGACACTACTGCTCCAACATTCCTACTTAAAATGCAGGTTTCTGAAAATCCAGTAACTGCTCCTGTCTAATTTCAAATGAAACTGCATTTTAGTTTACCACACGATGCCACTACTTTCAGTCTCCATGCCATTGCTGTAACGTTAGCTCCTTTGGTAATCTGTCTGTCTTAATTATCTGTTTGTACTTTGTTGCTGCAAAAATTTCCCCTCATATGATGATCTGAACTGATTCTGCACACAGGAGTCATCACAGCCCTTGATGTGTAAAAATGAGGACTTTAGCAAAAGCTGCTATGAAAAGCCCTCCACCAAGCAGCCCGCTTTCCAGATCCATGTGGATGAGCCAGATGGCACCTGCACCAGGAAGCCACAGCAGGTGGCCGAGGCTGTCAAAGCAAAGGCCATCGTTGAAGAGTCTCCCCTCAAAATCAACAATGCTGTGGCACGGCTCCGACAGCCTCTAGCCACAATTGACATTCCAGCAGCAATGGATGTCAGCTTTGGTGTGTTGTAAATACTTTCTGATTGTCCATGACTCCTTTTCAGTGTGCAGGGCAAGAAACTGCTGTTCATTAACTTTACATCACATCAAACTCTTAGTGACTGACTACAGTTTATATATTTGGTTGCTTTTGCAAAGATTTTCATTGCACTAAAACCATTCTTTCCTTAGACTCTCCCATGGACATGTCTGTGGTTGAGGGGGAGGAGAAACCAATCAATGTAAATGAGGTCCCAGAATATGCTGCTGAAATCCACACTTACCTGAGGGAGATGGAGGTGAGAAATTCTTTTAACTTTATACTATAAACTGTATCTCTGCCTCAAAGATTCTTAAACTGTCTTGCAGGTTATTATATGCTTGTCATGAGGCCTTTTCTAGAGATGCAGTAGTTAAGTATCTGAAGTAGATCTACTTTGCCTGCAGGTAGATAAGTAAAACTGGTGTTGCTCCACAGGTAAAAACCAGGCCCAAAGCGGGCTACATGAAGAAGCAGCCTGACATCACAAACAGCATGAGGGCCATCCTGGTCGACTGGCTGGTTGAGGTCGGCGAAGAATACAAACTCCAGAATGAGACTCTCTATCTAGCTGTAAACTACATCGATCGCTTCCTTTCCTCCATGTCTGTCCTGCGGGGGAAGCTTCAGCTGGTTGGCACTGCTGCCATGCTATTGGCATCGTATGTCTCCCTTTAGCTTACATTTCAATCTATTGATTTCTTAGCAGTCTCTGTCCTTTGTAAAGTAACTATAAATATTTCAAATGCAGGAAATTTGAAGAGATCTACCCCCCTGAGGTGGCAGAATTTGTTTACATCACAGATGACACCTACACCAAGAAGCAAGTGTTAAGAATGGAGCATCTGGTGCTTAAAGTGCTCTCCTTTGATCTGGCAGCACCAACAATCAACCAGTTTCTCACTCACTACTTCCTCCAACAGTCGGTTAACAAACAAGTGGAGAGTCTGGCAATGGTGAGCATCAAATTTTACAAAGCCCTTATACATTTTGGCTATGCGGTCACCAAATTGTAGCCAACCTGTCAAACATCCCCCCTCACTTACAACTGCTTTTATTTTTGCAAACTTAACATGTTAATAATCTCTGAACATAAACTAAAAGTTTCAGACATGAGTACCAAATCTGGGGGGGGTCCAAAATTAAAAGTAACAATCAGTATCCAGTGTGGTCCTGTGCAGGTGTTGCCACACAAGGGCTGTCCTTCCTGTCTCCCTGTAGTTTTATGCATCTCACAGCACAGACAGAGCAATTTATTGCTCTGACATCAGCAGTCATAGTTCCGCCTTGCTCATCTACAATAAAGATCTGTAAAGTTATTTGGATTGTTATAGAATCATCTTCAAAATGCAGTGTCCTGACTTCATTTCTTTGCATTTATAAACTGCATATAGCTAAGTCTTTATTTCTTCCCAGTATCTTGGAGAGCTCAGTCTGGTTGATTCGGATCCCTGTTTGAAGTATCTACCATCACAAACAGCTGCTGGAGCCTATACCCTGGCCAACAACATTGTGACTGGTGGCTCATGGGTAAGTTTGAAAGAACAGTCTAAACTTGCAAGTTGTACTGAAGTCAAACTGTATCCTGAGAAGGATGCTTGTCAGCATCTGTTAAAGACTAAGTCCTGTTTCCTGAGTAAGGAAGACTGGGCATTTGTGTGTAAACATGCAAGATAATATCAGTTGTTGTCTTAGCCAAAGCCCTTGATGGAGGTGACTGGCTACTCCCTGGATGATCTGATGCCATGCATTGAGGATCTACACAGAATTCATCTAAATGCTGCTCAGCACGCCCAGCAGTCTGTTCGGGAGAAGTATAAGGGCCCCAAGTAAGTAGGCTGCTAGTAAATGTCAAACTCTTATTAGAGCTGTATCTAGTAAGTGATTGGTTGAATGCAATTGTCACAATTTTCCTTCTAGCTTAATGTAAGATTTTCTGCTTTTGTTTATGATAAAGTCTCTGGGTTTTGACTAGACAGGAATAGTGTAAAGATGCCATTTTGTTAAAGGGACTAATCAATTGGTTGCAGTCCTGTTCACATTCATTATTGGTGGCTTCTGCCAAATGTTCTAAACTGTTTCTCTTCTAGGTACCATGAAGTTTCCCTCATCGATGCTCCAACTAAATTGCTGCTCAACTGAATTTTTCTTCACCCTCCCTTTGTCCATGTAGAGTTGTACCCCTGTCAGTCACTAATGTTTTTTTCTTTTTAAATGATGTGTGCCACAACTTCAAATAACATGGCCTGCTCTTCTTGGAGTAGAGCTAGATGTTGAGAGTTTTTTTAAATATTTTTATATACTCAATCCTGACATTCATACCAGATGCTGTGGTTAATCAAGCTGTTTAAATGGTTTGGATTTTAATTGCAGACAAGTCTTATCACCGCTTGCTCTACAGTGTCTCAAACTCCAACATACCTGTGACCCAGAACCTTAATTCTGGCTTTACACTCATGTGAGTACGTAGCAGTTATTGGTAGTTCACCTTCAGAGGCATAACCTTTGACCTTATGGGTTGCAGATTAAAGTTTGTCTGTCATGGAGTCGGCTGTCATTATGTTGTCTTGGCATAAAAAGCTATTCATGGCATCATCTGCACTGTAAAATATGGCTCTTGTAAATAAAATTTCATTTAAAGTAAGACTTCATTTCTACATTATGGTTACTTTGTACTAGAGGGGGCAGCAGAGGACCACTTTCACTTAAAGGTTTCCTCAGATACATGAGGACTTAGAAACCTATCCTATCCACAAAATAGGGATTCAGTAAGGTTTGGGTAAAGAAAATGTCTACAAACTCTCCCCCTAAAGGGTCTGAATAGTTCAGGGTTTTAATTAAAAGCCTAATGGTTTATTGATCCAGTGTCCCTTATGTGCATTTCATTGGCATATTGGAGACTTTAAATACTAAGCTGTGGCTGAAGCCTAAACTCATTGAAAACCAATAAATCATTGAAATGTATCCTGATTTTGGTTTATCAAGTGTAACTAAAAGCCTACACACTAAACTGAACATTGTTGCTCTTTAATCTCCAAAAGCACATCTTTTCCATAAGATGTTTCAGTATTTCAAATGTGAGTATAAAAGGGGAAAACTCAAAACCCTAAAGGAGAGTACCAGAAAATATGAAGACATGCCTTGTAAAAGGTTTTTGTGGTCCGCACATAATTAACAATTGGTAAATGGCAATAGGATTGACATTTTCTACTTACACATCAGTGATTTGATTTTCTCTGGAAGTGAAGGCAGCCAGTGGTGGAAGGAATCTCTCGTGCTCTCCGCCTCTCATGATAAATTGGGAGGCTGGCTTTGTGCAAGGAGTTTGACAGGAGGGGATGTGCTGCAGAAAGATTTCCACCATTTCATCTTAGAAGAATGGGCACCTCAAAGACCATGCACGCACTCTCCAAAGGCTTGCTCTATCAGTGAGAGCCCACGTCACAAACCGGAGGATTACACTATGGGAACAGATGGGAATTCTATAACATAGCCAAACCAGTTGGACGGCTGTTTAAAAAAATGGCTGCTACAGCACAGCATCTGTCTAATCGCTGAGGAGGTCCACGTGTAAGGGAAAAACATTTTTTTTTTGAAGAGGGTGGGCAGTGCAGGTTTCTGTTTAATCCCATGCCTGCCCCCAGAAAATTTCTGGTGGCGTCCACCTCGCTGCCCCTGTCACTGGGCTGGGGCTGGAACTTGAGCTTATATGTGGGGATTCTCCTCGGACTCCTGACCCTCATGATGCTTCTTCTGTGGATGCTCCTCAGGCAGCTGAAGAACTCGGAGGGAAAATCCACGCTGCAACCCATCCGCTCTTTCAGACCACCTCACTTTGAACAGAGGCTCCAGTATATGATGTGAAAAATGGAGTGCTTGGACATGCTTTTGCAGATTCATGTAAGAAATTGACTTTTGAAAATGATTTGTTATGGACTCAATGCTTCTATTCCCTCAAAATAAAATCTGTTCATGTTCTTATTTATAGAAACCACTGTCTATTCTTTTAACAGCTTAATATGCTGCTTCTTTATCTTTCTGAGCCATGCACGAAATAAGGAGCCTTATCTATATTATTCTGAGTAATCAAAAATACTGTTGTTCTGATGCATCAGCTATTTTTCATCCCTTAGATGAATTTAAACAGCCGAGCTCAAACATCTAACTTGCCGAGTAAAAGCACAAGCCAAGATTAAATATGCATTATGATTCATTCAGATTAAAGCAATGCATTCAGGAGGGCAATTTGCAGTCCTCTAATCTCATTTGTGAATTGGCATGAGGGATACTGAGAATACACCGCCAATAAAAAATATGAAAGGAGCTGTGTGCCACATGGGTTTTCAAGTCCTTTCCCCACCTCAAAGTAAATGAGACCTTTGAGGCAACAGGCTAATATCAACTGCAAGGGCTATACTGTTTGATATTTCTCAGGTTGATACAAGAGGTTATTACACACAGGCAGGGGTGTTTGTCAGTCCGACTTTTTTTTTTTTTTTTTTTTTCTTCAGTCAGAGATGGCCAGGCTTTCGTTGAATAATCTGAGAGGAATCAATAGCCATTTGACCTGAGGGGAGCATGTTCATTACACGTTGACAGTTCATTTCCTTAAACAGCAGTGCAATAAGAGAAATGGCCATGGCTCAGAGTGCTTTTGTGTGTGATGACTCAGCATACATGGTGGAGGTGTAAACGCTACCATGTTTCTGCAGGGGAAGAAATCATTCTTCATTCAAAACAATTAAATTAGTTCCATAAGATACTTTTTCCTGTATGTACAAAACATAGATTAATTTGGAGGCAGCTTTTTATTGGTGTTTTTGTAGTTAGGCATTTTGGAAAATAAGGTTATTCATTTTATTGTCAAGAGTTAAATAAGAAGATTGATACCACTCTGTACAATAAATGTGATGTTGAAGCCAGCAGCAGGTTAGCTTAGCTTTACATAAAGACTGGAAATATGGGGAAATAACTAGCCTGGCTTTGTACAAGGTAACAAAATCCAACTACCAGCACCTCTGAAGCTCACAAATTAACAAGTTGTAAGTCCTTTGTATAAGTTGTACAAATACTCAAGTGTAAAGATGACAATGAGTGAATTTTGTTAGCTTTGGACAGAGTCAGACTAGCTGTTTCCCCCATTTCCATTTTTTGTGCTAAGCTTGCAGCTCCTGGCTCAAGCTTTATATTTAACATCAGACATGATAATGATATTAATCTTGTCATCTAATTCTTGGCAAGAAAGCAATTAAGTGCATTTCCCAAAATGGTGAACCATTGCTGTCTCTCAGACACTTTTATTTAATGGTTGCTCTGAAAACATATTACTATCTCTGCACTATTTCAAATCAGGAAATCTTTAGGGATTTCTCTTTCACAGATCTGAACACAGGTTATTTCAAACTAATAACTGTTCGCTTGTCTGCTCCCCTCAGCGCCTGTAGATTAATGAGGTCTCACATCATGGATAGATCCCATCAGGTTTTTGATCTGCTGCTGAGGAAAAATTTCTGTCGTCTGGCACTGCTTGGACTGTCTGTGGTCTCTCAGTCCCCTTCTAATAAAAACAGTGCCATTAAGTCTCAGAATACAGCACAATTAACTCAAACATCAAAAGCATCACAGCAGCTTCTGAGTCAGTTGTGTTGTCTGTGTTGTAGATACCTGCTGGGTTTATAACGCAGACAGAAGATATAGAGATTCTGGTGCAAAGTACCAAAATGGTGAGAGATGAGGATAATGTGTCTGCTGCGAGCTACAGACATATGGAGTTTGCTTGGTTGCATTTTTTGAGAGTGAGAGTCTCAAAAGAGATGAAAACATCAGCTTGGAGATAATAAAATATAAATCAAAGTAAACCATGTCTGTGAACCAGAGGAGTTTTTAACATTTTGAAAAAAATCTAATTAATTCAATTAATCAAATGATTAAATGTGAAGTAGCTTAATTATCATTTTACGATGGAAATAAGTCAGAAATTCTGACACCTGTTGCTTTTTGTTGGTACACTTTGCATAGCACATACTGTAGCTAATGCTGGATTACCAACCAGATTTGTTGTGTATGTTGGTTTGTAAAACTTTTATTAACTGGCATGTTGTTTGGGAATATATAGGCTATATATATTTCTTGCAGGGAGTTCAACTCAGTCTACAAGTTGTCATTTTTACACTTTGGTTTAAATGTATTACGTATACAAGATACAACATGTCAACTTCTGAGCTTTAGATATACTACTAGGCAATAGGTAGATTTATTACCCTTGGATCGAGCCTGTTACCAATCTTTATGCTAAGCTAATCGCATGCTAAGTCTAGCCCCATACAGAAATTAGCGCACAGCTATGTGAGTGATATCGATCTTCTCATCTAACTCGCAGCAAGAAAAAAAATATTTCCAAAATTCAAACTATTAATGGGTTAGTGGGTTAATACAGCTTTAACTGTAGTGTCAAACATAAAGGTTGTATATTTGTTCAATACTGGAGCCAAGTGTAAGTAGCTAACAGGCTAGATAACTTCCCTACCAACTCCCAGTTGTCACAGTTCATGCTGCTGAGATTGATACCTAATTTTGATGTCACCTATGTATTTTATGCGACAGTCGGTAATCTGGAAGGTTTCCATCATGAATGACCTCCATTTTAAATGGCCATAATGGAAAATGTGGCCACAATGCACAATGACCTGATGCTCTGTCTGCAGCTTTATGGTTCTTTACATCAGAGCCATAGGAAAGGCAGATGTTATTCTCTGTCAGAGTCTCACAAAACTGCCCGAATATTATGATGTGATTCTTGTGGTTGCTCACAAAAGGTCCATGAGGCCTGGTAATATTTGTTGAAATGGAGTCATTTGATAATACCTGTCTTCAGCATAGAGGAAGATAGCAAACAGAGCTGATCAGTGGTAGCTGGGGAGGCCCTGTGACTGATGATTGAGATTATTGTCTGTCATTCATCACCAAACAAACTGAGCTGTCCTCAGCTCTGTATACCTGGCTGTCCCATGGAGCTCTGCTCATGAATGAAAATTTCACAGTGATTCAGTTTGGAAACTGACAACGCAGGGATGATAGTAGGAAGTGAAAGCAACAGTCAGCAGTTTGCAGCCTCACTGATTTAGCTTATATAACTTGAAAGCACTCGACAGCTGTTGCTTTTTTCATATCAAAACAAATTTTATTTTGAGCTTCAAAGATCTTGCTTGACTTTACAAACTGCACTTGACAAAACAATCTCTGCTCTGGGGGCTTTCATATCACATGATCTTCCTCAGCAGATCGAGTTTGCCCAGCTGTCATGGAATTGTAGATATAAGGATTTATTGTAAAGGTTTTCAGTGTACAAAGTCTCCTAATATAGTGTGTTAATCCATCTAGTACATTCATCTGTGAATGTTACATGCCCAGGTGTTTGTTGTCTCAACATGAACTCAACAAGCGTACAGTGGTGTTTTACCTCGTTAATGAAAATGTTTTCATTAATTGTATTGAATTTTTCTTATGTAAAAACAGCAAACATGTCATTCTAAAAAAAACCTCTACCATACGTGACATTTGAATTAGATACTTTGTCAAGACAGAACCTAAACAATTTATGTATTTTATGTGTCTTATATGTGTATGCATTAATGTTTAATCACCAATTTCTGAATTATTAGGTTTAATTTTAAAGCCCCTAAAACTTTATGAAGACTAATATGTATTTCTCTACAACATCATATATTCATGACAGCAATAATCAAAGTTGAAATTTAACAAAAAATCATAATTTTTATTACAAAAACTAATTTAATCTGCTTCATCTGGACTTTGTGGGTGTGATTTAATCAGATTTTATTGACAGCAATTTAACACTAAACTTTTTTGAGTGAGGAAATTACAATTCAAATATAGTCACTTTAATATACATCATCCTTTGATCCAGGTCCCATTTTATAGTGTTTATTGCAACAGAAGTTATTTTCCTCTTTCTAGAGAACATCCAGTTATTCTGTCCACTTAATCCCCCCAAAATCTAAAAATAATCTATGATGTTTCACCCCCATTAAAATCTGATGGTCTGATGCTTGTGGATATAGACTTAATCTGATAAATTCGATATTAGCTGCTCTAGTACACTTGTTTATTTGTGATGAAAGGAAATTGACTCCACGTCTGTCGGGGATGATGTGAGATGAAACGGCATGCATGCGTGACTGGATAACCTGATAGATGGTGTTCACACTCTCGCCTTCTCACAAGTGCTCACTTTAATTAAGGTTTGCAGGGAATGATGATATATGATCCGCTCCTTTGCACTTCGCTGTGCTGATCTCTTCACTCCTATCAGGCGTCAGGCATCTCCTGTTTGTCTCCTGTTTGCCATAACACACATTTACCTCAGATTAACCGCGCATGTTGTCCTCAGACATGTATAGCATGACACATAAGGTGAATTATATAAAGGGAAAAAGGGAAAGAGGCACTTAATTAAAAATTACATGTTTTAATTGTTTTAATTTAATTCTATTTTCAAAATGATTCATTATTTTAAAAGATTAACGACCTCTCTCACGGACTAATTCATGACATTGAAGTAATTATGGGCCAATGTTCTTAAGCATCTCAAGATATCTGCTTACAAAATGTCATTGAGGCTCAATGGTCAAAAGTAACTAAGTATATTTACATACAAATGTGAGGTACTTGTACTTTACTCAAGTATTTCCATTTCATCCCACTTGCTTCTCCATTACAGTTCAGAAGGGAATATTGTGTTTTTACTCCACCACATTAACAACAATTATAGTTGTATTACAAAGTAGTATATAATAAGTATATACAAAATATATAATGAGTTTATCATAGATGATGCATTATTATTGATTAAACTACCCAACAGTATGTAAAATATATAAAATGAGCCTAAACCAGCTACAAGAGTAAAATGATACTTATTATATAATAACACTTACACAGGTAATTTTTCTAAATAGGACTTAACTTGTAATGAAGTATTTTATATTATGGTATTGCTAATTTTAATTAAATTAAAGATCTGAAGGTGAGTGACTTAAATACATTTCATCTATGTTTTTTTTGTATGCTAATTAGATCGTTTAAAGAATTCAATGTTTATTTAAAAAGGGTACAGAGCATAAAATGCCATCAGAGATACCAAAATGTAACCTAGGGGTGTGTGTTTTATCCAGAATAATTGTTTTGCAAAGAAACTAGACCTAACCTAAAACTCGATGATTGTTAACTTTTGTGGAAACAATTTTTTCATTAATTGTAATTGAATACAAAACAGGAGAGGATAAATTGCTTGGAAATAGCCTCCACTGTCTAAACACCCACCCTCTGGACCCTGGGGACACTCTACCTTTAGAGAAACGTTTAACCCCTTGTCACTTTTTTGAAGGTCACGCAAAGCAATTAAGTGCATGAGGTCATGATCTCCTGTTTCACTGACAGTGAGTGTAAGACAACACGGCAAGAGGATGAGGAAGCGCATCTTGTCAGCTCTCCCCTGTGACCACAGCCTCCACGGGAGCCAGGAGGAGTTTTAGGGGCCTGCAAATAAAGAGCTCCTACCACAGATCACCAGCAAGGAGAAAGAAGAAATCCAATAGTTGGTAAGAACTTACAATTACTTTCCTCTTGATTGGTGTTTACACAGTTTTACAAGGTTACAAGGTTTGAGACAATTACATACTAACCTTGCCTATTATAATCAGGATTTTGTAACCTCTTCCACTTTCTTTTAGTTTACAGCGTTTGTCTTCCACTAACACAAGGGATGGTAAGTGTTTCCTTTCTTTGTTTTATTAAATCATATTTTAAATGAAACATCTTCAAAGTATGGCAAAAGTAATAAGAATGCCAAGGAAGACTAGTGTGGTTCAGAGCGACACTTTATGTTTGTGTACTGAAGTGGGTCTCAACTCTTGAAAGGTCAGTTCTTTTTCAAGCCACACCGAGACCTGTACTGCATGATCCATCTTAAACAATACACATCACAAATAACTCCAACCGCTGATTTTCATGCAACCTTAAATTTTTCTTTCCATAAATTTGATTGCATTTTCATTTAATTAGATCCTTGTTATTTTAAATGATTGTATACTGTAAAGACTTGTACAGATACCCTGACTTCTAAATGATCCCTAGTTCACTGAAAGGACTTTCTGGGAAGATGCACTCATTAGTAAAACATGAGTGTGACTTGTGCAGTGTACTCACATTGGCACGAAAAGAGAAGGATCAGCTTCATTTGATATCCTTGATTTGATTTTATCCTCTCCAGCTTGTTGAGATACTTCAGACTGTCTGATGAGGATAAGTTGGTTTAAGGCATAAAGTGACGGCAAGAACTTAGCTTCAGTTGATGACAGTGGTCTAATTTGTCCCATATTGTATTACCATGTGCATGGAAACTGTGGCCACTGTATCCCCACCAGGTTACAATTTCATCAAGGGACAGTTGGGAGACGATGCTCCCAGCACTTTTTACTGAAAAGAAACTCTGTAGTTCATTGTTCAATCTATCATTCAATAGGCTTACTTAACAACTATTTATTAGTGATTGTTCAAAAAGCTGCTGTGACTGTGAGAGTCAAGCAAACAGGACTTAGCAATTAGGATTCATCTACATAAAGAGCTTTGACCATTTGATGTTGTTGTTCAGGATGACAGTTTTAACATTCTGATGTTTTGACACTATCTTAATTTAGCATGTTAGCATGCTAATATTTGCTAATCAGCACTGAACACATTACAGCTGAGGCTGATTGAAGTGCTGTGTTTGGACAGAGTGAAAATTTTAACTGATGTCAGAGGATCGACAAAGTCAATATGATCAATTCCCTGGGGACATTGAATATCTTTTACATCCAATAGTTGTTAAGACATTTCCCCCCTGTACCAAAAATGTTAAGTTTATGTTGGCAGAAGATAAATGGTGAATATGTCGAGTAGGTGTGGCTATATTTCCTGTGACATGCTGGTGCACTAGATGAAAAGTCAACGGATCAACAAAGTCTTTGGGATTTATGTTCTGGGGACTGTAAACTGGCTATGCCACATTTCATGACTATTCATGCAAAAGCTGTGAAGATATTTCCGCTTGGACAAAAGTGGTGGACCGATCGACCAACCATGATGGTCGACCAATACCACATACAGCTGCAAGGTTCGCATTTGCTAGCTAACATGAATATCTTTGTAGAAGATGAATGCTAAATTGGTAATGAATTACATTAACAATAAATGCCGAATCACATCCTACTAATAAATATGAGTTCAAAAATAGCTCTTGACTGAGTTTACTGTAGAACAAAGGTGTGTTGTCTCTAAAGAGACACCGTGGTGTCAAATTTAAACTCATGTTTCATGATGCAAGCAGACAGGATGAAGGCTGTGACAGTGATGTATTAAGGTGCCACATCAAGGTAAACATCCTCATGTTTACCTTATGTAAGAGGTTGCTCTTGTGAGAACATCAAACACAGAATAGCTTCTGTGTGAAAAAACAGATGACCAACAAAAGAGATAATAAACAGAAACCTTTCCTGCGAAGAGGGGGAGATAATATTCTTTCATGTCTCCCACCTGCACAGAGTTTGGAACAAGGCTACTGCAGAGGCAGACGTTTTATTGCCTTTTCTTCAAATTACATTTTCCCCAGAGAACAATCACCTACAAGTGAAACATGGCACATTTTTTAAATTACCTGCATGACACGAAGCCACAGACTTGATTTAAGTTCTACTTACAGTACTTGCCCCAGAGTTTGGATTGACAACATTTAAACCCAGGTGGGTTTTGATCGCCAGTGGCAAGATGTTTTATAATGCAGCTACAACAGTCATTTACAGCAATGTTCAGTGTCTTTAAAAAGGTTGTGCCCAAAAAAAAAACATTCCCAGCATTTGTACTGAGGTTTTATTCCTGTTTGGTTGGGGGTTGGGGAAGCAATTGAAACACCAGCACAGAGCATTAAAGTTCCCCTTTGAGGGTACTCGAACTGCGTCGGTTACGACACTATGGGAACGCCTCTAGGCATAGCAGGTCTGAACGTGAATGAAATCACTCCAATCCTATTGGTTTGTTGCTAGAACGGTAAGGTGTGACGGAATAACCGGAGGAGTATTAAGCACACCTGTACACACTCATCATTAGCTTTTTTCTATTCAGCAGGCGCTCTGTATGTTGTTTGAAGAAGCTCCAGTCCCACAAGCAGTGTGTCTTACCTGAAGAAGAAGTCTACCAGCATGTCCGGCAACCAGAAGTACAGAAGGTGTGTTTTTCCTTGCCCTCAGTACATCACGGATGGAGAATCTCATGAGATGTGTGTCTCATGTTTGGGGATGGAGCACGCCCGGGCAGCTCTCAAGGGGGCTGCCTGCAGCCATTGTGAAGCCCTTTCCATGCGGGTACTGAGGTCCTGCATGGCTCTCTTTTCCGAGGATGGCCGGATGTGTTCTCCCCGTGGTGCGGGCCCTGCGGCCGCTGAGGTGGCCCGGCGGCTTCATTCATGGGGTTCACAGGATTTCGGGACGGCTGAGGCTTTTTCCCGACCTTCATCCGCTGGCTCCGAAGATTCCTTTCCTCGTTCGGGAGCCCGTTTCTCGGCTTCTCCCGCTCGTGGTTTGGATCCGGAGACACTGCAGCAATCCGACTCCGAGGAGATGGACGTGCTCAGCATAGTGGACGATGACTTCCGGGTGTCGGGGCGGCATCATCAGGCGGCGCCCAACTATGACGAGCTGCTGGAGGTGGCGACTAGAGCCGTTGCTAAGCTCAATATCAACTGGCCACAGGAGGAGCAGACACCACAGGCTAGTGGTAAGCTTGATGAAAGGTTTCTTAAGCACCACGCGCTACCTCCACGCCGGTCTCTGCCATTCTTTCCTGATTTACATGATGAACTGAGTAAATCATGGGGCAGACCCTTCTCTACATGGCTTTCCACACAGCCAGGTGTGGTGGGGGTTAGGGACCGTGGTTATGGGAGGATGCCTCGGGTGGAGGATGCGCTTGCGTCGGTTCCAGCACGTTAAGACGCAGGGCGAAGCGTTCTGCCAGTACCTCCCTCGCCAGTTTGGACCCAAGGCAGCTGAGGTTGCCAGGCATAGGTCCCTTCCCTCTACGAGCTCCTACCGAGGGGAGAAGAAACAGAGTGTCGCTGGGGCAGCGAGGCAGCGCTCAACCTCAGCCATCTGAGAGACGCGATCTGAGGACCGTCATCCAGTCCCAACGGAGCTCAGGGAAGAGGTCCTGAAGACCGGGGTAGGGGAGTCTTTTCTTATCGGCTACAGTTCAAAACCCGACCTCCAAAATTCAACGGGGTGGTTTGGACTGTGGTCCGGTGTTGGGACAGGAAGTTTTTACTCCCAGACACCCCCCAGACAGAGACGCCGGGTTCTACAGCCGGTACTTCATAGTCCCCAAGAAGGATGGAGGGCTGCGCATTATTTTGGATCTGCGAGTTCTAAACCGGTCTCTGAGGAGATTCAGGTTCAAGATGTTCACCATCCTCGCCATCGTGACGCACATCCAATCCGAGGATTGGTTCTATTTCTACGTCTCCGTCCAGAAGTTCCTGAGGTTCGCCTTCGGGGGTGTGGCTTACCAGTATCGGGTTCTTCCATTCAGCCTGGCACTTTCCCCTCGCACATTCACCAAGTGTATGGATGCAGCACTGGCCCTGCTGAGGCTCCAGGGCATCCGAATTTTTAACTACATCGACTCATCCTAGCCCAGTCTCGAGAGTTGGCGGTTCGGCATCGAGATGTCGTTCTGGCTCATCTGCTGCGTTTAGGGCTGAGGCTCAACGCAAAGAAGAGTGTGCTGGCGCCCACCCAACGGACAACGTTCCTAGGGGTAGTATGGGATTCGACAACGATGCGGGCACAATTGTCTCCGGCACGTGTCGACACCATAATGGCTGCCGTGAAAGGGGTGAAGTTAGGCCACGCAATCACTATAAAACACTTTCAATGGGTGTTGGGTCTCCTGGCAGCTGCGTCCAGCTTAATACCATCTGGACTGCTGCACATGAGACCCCTGCAGTGGTGGCTAAGGACCAAGGGTTTTTCCCCGAGGGGAAATCCTTTCCGTGTGATTTGGGTTACGTGTCTTCGTTCCCTATCAGTTTGGAAGGAAACTTGGTTCCTGTCCCAGGGGCCCGTGCTGGGAGGGTCTTGTCGCCGGCTGGTCATTTCGACAGACGCCTCCCTCACGGGCTGGGGCAGAATCAGGGAGCAGACCTGCTGTCGAGGCAGGGGCTGAGGCCCGGGGAATGGAGACTTCACCCTGAAGTGGTGGAGCTCTTGTGCGGAGAGTTTGGCCCCATAGACGTGGATCTGTTTGCATCTACGCACTGCCCGCTATGGTTTTCTCTCGTTCCTCCAGCCCCGTTGGGTCTGGACGCCATGGTACATTCGTGGCCGAGGCTACGTCTGTACGCTTTTCCCCCTGTCGCTCTGCTCCCGGGGGTTCTGGAGCGGGTCCGCCAGGACAATGTCGGCCTACTGCTCGTAGCCCCGTTCTGGCCAACCCGGGTGTGGTTCTCGGACATCATGTCGCTCCTGGACGGCCCGCCATGGCAGGTCCCTCTGAGGAGAGACCTGCGGCACAGTACCTACTTGTGGTGTAGGGAGCTGTCGGTGGACCCAGTTACCCTGCCCGGTGGTTCAGGTACTTGAGTTCCTCCAGGCCCGGTTCTCTGCTGGTGTTTCCCCTTCCACCCTCAAGGTGTACGTGGCAGCTATTTCATCTTTCCACGCCCCTCTGAGGGAGGGGTCTTTGGGGAAACTTCCCTTGGTTGTACGTTTCCTCCGTGGTGCCCGGAGGATGAGACCTGCGACTCGGTCCAAGGTTCCCACTTGGGATCTGGCGGTGGTTCTTGGTGCGTTGGCTGAGGCCCCCTTCAAACCCCAGGAGTCAGCTGAGGCTAAGCACTTGACCCTCAAGATGGCCTTTCTCCTTGCTATCACCTCTCTGAGAAAGGTGGGGGATCTCCAAGCGCTTTCGGTTTCCCCGCAAAGCCTGGAGTTTGTCCCGGGGAATATTAGGGCTATCCTGCACCCTCGTCCAGGATACATCCCTAAAGTGCCTTCTTGTGCGGCAGGGTCCACAGTGTTGCTGGCATTTCATCCTCCACCTCATGTGACGGCGGAGGACGGGAGACTTCATTTGCTCTGCCCTGTCAGAGCACTGAGTATTTACACTCTGAGGTCCTCACGTTGGAGGAAGGCTGACCAGCTGCCAGTGGGTTTTGGGTCCCTGCATCCAAACATACTACTACTACTAGACTATTTCCCTGGCCTATCAGGTGCGCAGTTTGCCTTCACCTGTGGCTGTGAGGGCTCATTCTACCAGAGGCATGGCGGCCTCTCGAGCCCTCCTTTCCGGGGCCTCTTTGCAGGATGTTTGTGTAGCGGCTGGCTGGGCCACTCCGCACACATTCATTCGGTTTTATAGTCTTGACCTTCCTTCGGCACCTGGCACTCGTGCACTCTCCTCTTAGTCGTGCCACTTTATTGCATACTTGGGGCAGGCGGGGTTTTCGGCACGGTTTAGTGGGTATCTCGTTCCCATAGTGTTGTAACTGACGCAGTTCGAGTTCCCTCGAAGGGGAACGTCTCGGGTTACATATGTAACCCTGGTTCCCCGAGAAGGGGAACGAGATACTGCGTCGGCCCGCCGCACCTCTCTCCCTGCCTGAAGCGCCTGCTTCATAGTTTAAGCTAATGATGAGTGTGTACAGGTGTGCTTTATACTCCTCTGGTTATTCCGTCACACCTTACCGTTCTAGCAACAAACCAATAGGATTGGAGTGATTTCATTCACGTTCAAACCTGCTACGCCTAGAGGCGTTCCCATAGTGTCGTAACCGACGCAGGGTCTCATTCCCCTTCTCGGGGAACCAGGGTTACATACGTAACACGAGACGTTCTCAAATGAAACAAACCAATTTTAATTGAAATGTCACTGCTTTTAGGTTGATAAGTAATTTGCACACAGTATAATACAACAAATCAAATGATACAGGGACACAAAAGATGCATTTCATTGCAGGTGTTTGCTATTGTTTTTTTCTTTGTTTTGTTTTTTTATAACCTGTCCCGTCCATCAGCCTGGTATACCGTATGAGGAGCAGGATACCATGTTGTGCCAGACAGATCTTGCTTTAACAAGAGAGTTTTAATTATGTATTAATTTGTCACTGGGCCAGACAGGGGGACAGAAATGGGGAAGGGGGCACATACACTGCACACACGCCACAGAGAAAAGACAGCACCTGCAAGAGAACAGGGATGGAGGGTGTGGACAACAAGAAACAACAGAGGAAAACACCAATTGCAGAAAGCTGTAGATGAGGTGTTGACTGACTATGATATTCTATAAAAGCCCAATATCAGTGTGACATGCAGGTAATCCAATATATGTATCACTTTATATATATTTAGGGGCGGCTGTGGATCAGGGGTTGGAGCGGGTTCTGCCAGTGTATGAATGTCAGTTTCTGTTTGAGCACTTAGGCTCAGTATATGAATGTGTTTGACTAGTGAATGCAGATGTAGTGTAAAAGCGCTTTGAGTGGTCGAAAAGACTAGAAAGGCGCTATACAAATACGGAGCATTTACATTTGCATTTATATATCATAAACACATAAGGATATATCAAAATCAAATGTAAAACATAAGCAAAGAGGCACATAGAAGCACAAAGCTATTACTAACCTACAAAGAAACAATGTTTTTTAAATGTATTCAACATGTTTTTGTGTTCCTCTCTTCCCATAGGCGTACAGAGGCAGTGTGAGACCTTTTGTCAACTTCAACGCCAAACATGATGCTGAAGTCCTTCATAAAGCCATGAAAGGAATCGGTCAGTTTTCTTTGGAGGAATATCTTATGCCTCTGTTGTTTGACCCCATTTTCCTCACTCGTGTGATCTTTTTTTAATTGCAGAGATATAAAATGGGAAAGTGCAACAGAAATGTCCCTCTGCAGTCATTATTGTAAATCAATGGGCCCAATGACAATCACCAAATTCAAGGTGTACTACAGGCGCACATGGTGTAATAATTAACACTAATACTATCCTACTTTTCCACCACTTACTTCTCTAGCTTCCTGTCAGTGCTCTCACAATAAGAGTAATTATCATCATATCATAGTTAATCTGAACTAATTTAACATTTTGATGCCTCAGAGGAAATAACTTCTAGGAGCTATTGATTGTTAGATCTCCTGCATTAAGGGGTCAACTCTTCAAGTATATTTCAAGCTGTCAGTTATTCTTGATCAGGTCTTCATCCACATTCTAGATGATATGTTTGCTGACATGTTTACGTGAAGCTCACTCCCTGTGTTATTTAATGCTTATTTGACCTGGTCCAGGTACGGATGAAGATGCAATCCTCATGCTTCTGACAGCACGCAGCAACAATCAACGCCAGGAAATTAAGGCAGCGTACAAAAAGGCCTATGGAAAGGTGAGGTGAGCTGCCGGGAACCAAACAGAGAGCTGATGACAAGTTGTCACAGTGATTGATGGTTATAGGTCTTGTCATGGACTGTGTCCTCCTCACTCAATAACATTACCGGGATGATACATTTTTTTTCATCCTTTAATTGTTTTCTTTGTTTTTTAAGAATGAGACTGGCAGTATTCTATATATTTGTTGTTGTCAACAAATCCCACTAAAAGATCAAACAAGGTTTTAGTCCATCTTTGTATGCGTCCCTACTTCTCCAGTCTGTCTGTGGCATTCACCCCCTACCACATTTATTAAAACTGAAGACATCCTTAAAAAGAGGTAATTACATTTTTTTAAAAGCTAAACAAAAATCCCATATAAGCTGGGCACCATACTTTTGCCCTAACATTACTCAAAAAGGAGTAAACTGTGCTTTGTGGGAACTATTTTCAGCTGTGGCTTTATACACAAATTCAATCTGAGAGGTTCTGAGATTCCTAACATGATATGAGAAAGAAATCATTTCTGCTACTCAAAATGTGTTAATTCTTTTAGACATTCCTCTAATCTTTGCTTTCTTTGTGACACTAGATCGTTTTAGATGTTTCTAGCCTTTTCAAAATTATTCAAACAAAACAGAAAAAAAGAATTACTTTTTGGTTAAACTTGTCACATCTGGGAGACAGGTGAAAATGATTATGCAATACTTGCTTTTTATGTTCAACAACAAAGCTATCTGGCACGGAGGAAAAGATACATCAGGCTTTTTATAAAGACAATCACCAGACTTATCCTCTAATGCAAAACCAGGAATCATCGTGACTCATACACAATTAATGGACAACTTCGCTCTAAAACATAATGTACAATATAAGAATCGGAGATTTATCTAAACTTTACATTTACTCAAGTAATATACTTAAGTACATTTTTAGCTAGTTTATATAAATAATAAATCAGTCACAGGGACCATTTTTCTGCAGAATGAGTATTTAAACTTTCAATACTTGACATTTTGCTGAAACTACTTCTGTGCTTCTGCTTAAGCTTGATGTTTGCTTGTATAATACTATTTTCTACAATGTTGTATTACTACTTAAGTAAAGGATCTGACTTTTCCCACCACTGACTGCCTCAGCTACATTTATGTTTAATTGCACAAATTGTCAGTCAGTCAATCTAAAATCTAAATTTTTTCTGTCATTAAGAGTCAAGCAGCAGGAGTTGACATTTTGTACTAACTTTTAAAAGTCATACAAGGAAAAATAATCCTAGAAGAGGCAGAAAGACCAATTTCCTCCATTCTCCAAGGACCACAATTCAGTTCAGTTTGTTATACAAGACCTTGGCATTTTACACTCTCCTGCTCTTGCTGTTCTTTCACACTGTCAAGTTATATTAAGACCACCTGTGGATTAAAAGCAGCAAGTTTGCTCTCTGTGCAGCTTATTGAAACACATGTAGGCCTAATTGCTGTCTTTGGTATAAGTGGATGAGGCAGTTTGAGGGAAAAAAGGTACATAAGAAAATCCCAAAGTAGCTTCTATCAGTGTTTTATCAAAATTAGCCTACAAAAGAGGCTATTTGCTATCACGTTTTCAGTTCACTTCTATTACATATTATAAAATGTAATGACTGTAAGAGACTCTGCCTTAAACTACTCAGTCAAGTCTTCCCTTCAAGTTCATGCTCTTGTTTATCTGGAGCCAATTTCTACAACTTACAGTTTGTCATTTCTGCTCTGTAATGCACCGTTAACAGAACTTTTATGGGAATTAAATTTTATTGGCTTTTAACAGAACTGAAAATGGAAACTGATTGTCATGTGAAAAGAGAGATGGATTATGTAATCTAGAAATAAGGGGATTTTCTGTTAGAGGTCTCATATACTGAGCTGTTAAAGAGATTCGTGTTTGAGTTGTCTGTATACGGAAGAAGAGCATTGGCCAAACACAGTATATTATAGGATCCCTTGGGTGTTCTATATATAACAACACACACACACACACACACACACACACACACACACACACACACTGAAATAACAAAGATATGTGCTATTATTATAATGTGATTCATACCATACAGAAATCAATTTAGATGAAGCCAAAATATGTGCTATTACTCACTCTTTCCACTGATTCTATTCAGCTCATGCTCTGAGCAATGCCCAAAAATGTGCTTTATTGCATACAGAAATCAATTTTGAGTAACATGTGGTGTTTGATTAACTTGTTGTTATGTAAAGAAATGCTGCAAAGTAAATGTACTTTTTCTTTTCTGAAGGTACCTTTTTCATGATTATCCTCATTCCTTTGAAAAGCAATGCAGGAAACTGTTACTTATGTGCTCATCTCTTTGACACATGGAACTTGAATGATCTCTTAATGCACTGCGTGCACAATTATTAGGCAAATTTAATTCCTCAGGATTCACTTTATCGTTGAACAAACACAATGCTCTCAGTCAATCTAAAATATAACTAAACTTCATACCAGAATGTTTAACTGAAGAAAAGTATGTTTTGTCTTGCTCAGGAGAATATATTTATAAGTGTGCAGAATTATTAGGCAACTAAATGACCAAAATAATTTCTATCAAATTACTTGTTTATTCTCAATTTTCAGAGTAAGTGTAAAAACACAAACTGACAATTAAATACAATTTTTGGCCTTTCATAGATATTTAGTAACCAATGTAGTCACTCTTCCATGGACTCAGTTTGTCGTCCCCAAACTGTGTCGGTGATGACAATATGGGAACGCCTCTCGGCGTGGCAGGGCTGAACTATGAATGAAACTACTCCAATCCTATTGGTGTTACTAGAACCGTAGTGTGTGACGGCGTAACCGGAGGGGGTATATAAGCACGCCGGCACATAGGACACATTAGCTTCTTTCTATTCAGCAGGCACTCTGGCTATGTTTGGAAGCTCCATTATCCTACCTGACATCGAGACGAAGCAGCAGATCATGTCGAAGCAATTCCAACAGTGTGTCTTTCCATGTGAGCATTTCATCATGGAGGGTGATACCCATGGGATGTCCGTCTCATGCTTGGGGATGTCGCATGCTCAGGCGGCTCTCGAGGGGGCTGCCTGCGACCATTGCGAGGCCCTGCCCCTGAGAGTGCTGAGGTCTCGAGCGGCTCTTTTCCTAGAGGATGGTCGGATGCGCTCCCCCCGTGGCACAGGCCCCGCGGTTGCTGAGGCGTCGCGGCGGCTCCAATCCTGGGGATCACATCGCGAGATCACCGAGGGTGCCGGCCCCTCGTCCTGATCGGGAGCCCGTTTCTTGGTTTCTCCCACTCGAGGGGTGAGTCTGGAGAGGCTGACACAATCTGGCTCTGAGGAGCTAGATGTGCTTAGCATGGAGAATGACTTCGGGGAAACGGAACGTCATCAGCCCTCGCCAGGATACGAGGAGTTGTTAGAAGTGGTGACGCGGGCCGTGGCCAAGCTGCACATTGATTGGCCACAGGCGGTGCAGCCTCTCCCAACCTCGCCTCATCCCTCCGGACGCCGGCGCTCCCCACCAAGCCGTGTCGGATGACGTCCGATTTGGTGGGCAAGGCCTACATGGCAGTGGGTTGAGCTGGTGCCAGCCTGCACACGATGGCTGTCTTGCAGGCATACCAGGCCGATCTCCTTCGGGGCTGTGACGTAGGGGGAAGTTCCCTCTGAGGAGGACCTGACGGAGCTCCGTAGAGCGATGAACTTGACTCTCCGTGTGACCAAGGAAACAGCCCATTCCATCGGCCGATCCATGGCGGCTTTGGTGGCTATGGAGCTCCATCTGTGGCTCAACCTATCGGGCATCCAGGGGAAGGAGAGGGCTTTTCTCCTGGATGCACCCCTCTCACCTTCTGGCCTGTTTGGGGAAGCAGTGGATGCTGTCGTCAACAGGTTCCAGCACGCCAAAACTGGGAGAGGCGTTTCAGCGATATCTCCCCGCCGGTCAGACTCCAGGACTGCGAAGTTCGCGGAAGCTTGGCGAAGCCTCGTGAACATTTCCCCGTGGGTTCGCCCCCCCCCAGATTCTGCGGGATGGTCGGGACTACAGTACACGCAGAACAGAGCCAGGTGTTGGGACAGGAAGTCCGCTCTCTGCTGAAGAAAGGGGCCATAGAACTAATTTACCTGCCGGTCAGAGAAGCCGGCTTCTACAGCCGATACTTCCTGGTTCCCAAGAAGGACGGAGGATTGCGTCAGGTTCAGGAAGCTTACCATTACAGCCATCATCTGTCACATCCAATCCAAAAGAGGATTGGTTTGTCACGATAGATCTGCATCCATCTGTCCCTCTCACAGGAAGTTCCTGAGGTTCGCCTTCGGGGCACGGCTTACCAGTATCATGTTCTTCTGTTCGGCCTAGCACTATCTCCCCGCACGTTCACCAAATGCATGGATGCAGCTCTGGCTCCGTTGAGGCTCCAGGGCATCCGCATACTGAACTACATCGACGACTGGCTCTTCCTGGCCCAGTCTTGAGATTAGCGGTTTGGCATCGAGATGTCGTCCTCGCCCACGTTCAGTGTTTGGGGCTGCGGCTCAACGCGAAGAAGAGCGTGCTGACACCCGCCCAACGGACTACGTTCCTAGGGGTGGTGTGCGACTCAACGATGATGCGGGCCCACCTGTCTCCCGCACGCATCAAGTCCATTTTGTCCTCAGTGACCAGAGTGCAGTTAGGCCGCGCCATCACTGTAAAACACTTTCAGAGGGTGTTGGGTCTCCTGGCAGCAGCGTCCAGTATAATACCTTCCAGACTACTGCACATGAGAGCCCTGCAGTGGTGGCTAAAATCCAAGGGATTCTCCTCGAGGGGAAATCCGCTCCGTCTGATATGGGTTACGAGCAGGTGCCTTCGACACCTCACTCACGGGATGGGGCGTGGTCATGGACGCCCGCTTCGCGAGAGGCTCCTGGGAGGAGCATCATTTCTCTTGGCACATAAATTGCCTGGAAATGTTGGCGGTGTTCAGAGCTCTGAGGAGTTTTCTGCCCACCCTCCGCGGTCGCCACATCCTTGTCAGAACCGACAATGGCAGTGGTTCTCGAAGCGCTGGCTGAGGCCCCCTTCAAACCCCTGGAGTCGGCTGAGGCCAAGCACCTGACGCTTAAGATGACCTCGCTATCACCTCTCTGAGGAGGGTGGGGGATCTCCAGGCACTTTCGGTGTCTCCCCGATTCCTGGAGTTTGCCCCGGGGAGGGTCAGGGCCATCCTGCACCCTTGTCCAGGTTATGTCCCTAAGGTTCCGGCGAGACTGGCAGGGTCCACGGTGCTGCAGGCGTTTCATCCCCCACCTCATGTGACAGCGCAGGAAGGGAGACTTAATCTGCTCTGCCCTGTCAGAGCACTGAGTATTTACACTCTGAGGTCTTCCCAGTGGAGGAAACCAGTTGCTGGTGTGTTTCGGGTCCCCCAAGGCTGGGCTCCCCTCTTCTAAACACACCATCAGCAACTGGATCGTTCAGACTATTTCCCTGGCCAGGTGCGCGGTTTGCCTTCACCTATGGCCGTAAGGGCGCACTCTGCTTGAGGCATGGCGGCTTCTAGGGCCCTCCTCGCAGGGGCGTCATTCCAGGATTTGTGTGACACGGCTGGCTGGGCCACCCCTCACAATTTTATCCGGTTTTACAGTCTGGACCTGGCTTCTGCACCCGGCACCCGTGCGCTCTCCTCCTAGTCGTGCCGTCAGGTTCTGCACGCTGGGGGCAGGCGGGATTTCGGAGCGGCCTAAGTGGGTATCTCGTTCCCATAGTGTCGTTACCAACCCAGTTCGAGTTCCCTCGAAGGGGAACAAGGGTTACATACGTAACCCGAGACGTTTCCTGATCAACTTTCGCTGAAGCAGCAACCACTGCCTCTCAAATGCTGTTCAAAGAGGTGCATTTTCTTCCCAGACTGTGAGTCTGACATTTGAGAAAGTACCACAAGTTCTCAATAGGATTCACGTCAGGTGAGGAAAGGCCAGGTCATTATTTGGGGCCCTTGCTGGCTAGCCAAGCAGTGGAGTACTTGAATGCATTTGATGAATTATTGCCCTGCATAAAGATCATGGCCTTCTTGCTGAGGGCTTCTTCCTGTACCATTGCTTGAAGAAAGTATCTTCCAGAAACTGGCAGTAGGTTTGGGAGTTGAGTTTTAGTCCATCTTCTACCTGCATGTTGAAGTGATGACCTGTCAATCAGTGATCCAGCCACGAGCCCATCCATCTGGTCCATCTAGAGTCACTCTGATTTCATCTGTGCATAAAACCTTTGGAAAATCTGTCTTCAGGTGTTTCTTTGCCCAATTTTGACACTTCAAGTTTTGAATCTTATTTTTGACTTTTCAATGTCAGTTAAATCTCTTTTTTGGCCAATTTTACCTGAGGTAAGGAAACTGCCTAATAATCATGCACACCTTTTGCCACATCTTCTCTCATTACAGAAATATATGTCACCTGAAAATGACTCCAATGAGCATTCAAGTGTATATGGTTTGGAGTTGGGAAATGTGCATAGAAATAATTATTAATTCAGAATACACACGCCTAATAATTGTGCATGCAGCATACTGTATGTTTGCACTTATTTATAATAATTCCTGGATAATCTACATTTTCTACATTTACCCATTGGTCCATGCTTTTAAAGACTATTACTATGAATGGTGGTGTAAGCAACAGGATAGCACATTTGCTCTGTTTCTTTAATGTTACAGCATTCAAATAATGCAAAATTAAGTTCAATACAAACAGAATTATTATTGTTTGTTGTTCTTCTCGTCACTAATCATCTCTTCCCCACAGGACTTGGTCAGCACATTGAAATCAGAGCTTGGTGGCCTGTTTGAGAACCTGATTGTGAGCTTGATGACACCACCTATCTCATATGATGCTTCCCAACTGCACAAGGCTCTCAAGGTAAGTGATTAAAGTTTCCTAAGATTGCTCCATTTAACCCAGATCACAGGTCTTGAATGAGTAGAAACCCCTGAACGATACAGTTTAGTAACTTTTTTGAGGTATTTGTGTAATGATGTTTCAACATTTGATGCTGAAACTGAGCAATCAACTTTTCCATGGCACTCATTTCAGTGTGTAATAACAGGAAAAACATGTGTGAACTCACAACAGTGATTAAGGCTCCCATGACAGAGAGCCAGCATGTACATTACCATGGGCCCAGCATTTGCCCACAATAAATTGTTGTTTTTAGTTCCCCTGTGATTGACAAGTTGAAATGTCTGCCAGGAGATAGGCATATTGAAAGTGGGCAATAGAGAGCTGAAATTGCACCACTCTTCATAGCCTCTCCTCTGCTAGAGTGTTTCTGTCATCAGTTTTTCTGAAAAGCCAACCAGTTTCTGACCATGTTCTAAGCTAAATGTTTTTCAGCTACTTTACATGATAGCTAAACCAGCACTAATTAATACATTTCACCTCAACAATAAATTACTATTTATATTGTGAGAGGTCACTTCTAATGATGAACTCACAGATAATTATCACCCAACTCTATAGCTCTTCTGAGTGTTTTTAAGTCATTATTTTAGCTTTATGTTTATCTTGAATAGTTCATTCACACATCTTTCATAATAGTAATTTCCAGCAGCAAGCTCTGGTAAAAACCACTGTACAGTAGCTGCACACACTGTTTGGAAGATAGACAGAGTTTGTGTTTAGCTGACAAATACAGTGGAGCATTTAGCAGCTAAATAACCAGATATGTTTACTCAGAACTTACAAAAGTGAATATTAGACTTGTATTTCTAATTTGAATGTTAATGTTTCTTTGTTAATATGTTTGCCTTTACAACTTTATAATACAATTAAAAGTCAGGTTGTGGATTTGCCAGGTTGTTGTGAAATTCTTCTATACACAAGTGGCTTAAAGAATGAAATGACACAGTTTATCATCTGAGGACTAAAGGATAAAATAATTAATTTGCCAGCAGCCATGTCATCAATAAATAAATAATTACAGAGTAAGTTTATATGTTCACCATCTCTTAGCTTAATTTTATCTGAGATATTTTGCTTTTTACAGAATTTCAGAACCTTCATTTCTATATTGGCAATATAGAAGCAACCAATAGTAATGAGTCCAAATAGTGGCATAACTATTGTGTGTAATTGTCTCTTCTTTTTAGAAGAGAACAAAGATAATGACACAAACCAATTAATTTGATGCACAAAAGATTAATTGTATTATTTTGGAATGAAGCTGTTCAAGTTTATCATTGCAGTTTTTTTTGCCATTGTTGCTTAAGTTTGGATATTCTTGTAGCAACTGCTATCACTAAGATCAAGTCGAGAATGACCCATGATGTAACTTAATGACATACTGTAATGTACTAAGCATACAGCAATGTACTGAAATGCATTTCACGCTTATTGAAGAAAATAAGCCTACTGTATAAGTGTTGGGTTGTTGCAGAAATGATCAGGTTGAAATTTACACGAGAAACAAAATGCTGGAATCAGATGACCACATGACACAAGCACTCAGTGCATTACTTGTACTCCATAATGAAAACAATCTATCATATGGTGTAATTCTCATAAATTGGTTAACCTTGCCTTTTCTCTGTGTATCTGCTTCAAATCTGTTTAGAGATTAAAGGTCCAGTGTGTACGATTTAGGAGGATCTTTTGGCAGAAATGTAATATAATATTCATAAATATGTTTTAAAAAAAATACTCAAATTTGTTAGAATGAGCCCATTAATCTTGTATCTCGTGTCTGGCACAGACCTGGCACGTCGCACATATTTGTTGTTGATTGTTGATCTTTGTTTTTGTATATTTTTACGTTGTCAGTTTATATATTTATATGTACACAATATTCTCTTCCGTTGCATTACTTCTGCACGGCACAGACCCAGAATAATGCACATGTATATATATCTGCAACGTTGTTCTTCTATTCCATATTTATATATTTCTACATTTATTTATGTCGACTGTTTGTTTGTCTACGTGTAGCACCTTATCACCATAGCAAATTCCTTGTATGTGTAAAACACTAGTTGGCAATAAAGCTCCTTCTGATTCTGATTCTGATTCTGATTTAAAGCTACAGAGGGAGCCGGTAGCCCAGAATGGACAAACCAAACACTGGATCTAGAGTAGACCTTTCATGTTTTTTTGCGAGTTTCATGGCCACTGTAGTGTCTCCTAAAGGTTTTGAAGCGGAGGGTGAGACGAGGGGTATGCAGTTGATTGCAATCTGCAACCTCACCGCTAGATGATAAATCCTGCGCACTGGTCCTTTAACGCTGCTTTTCATTAAAGTTTCTGCAGAGATACAATCCTGTCTTATTATCTTTGGTTCCCATTACATATTGAGCCACCTGGGAGGTAGTAACAGAGCAGTAATTAGATTCCTGTTTATCTATTGCATCTAATCTAATGTGGTGCAAATAAATAAGGTAGAAGTAAAGGTATAACAACGGAGCATATCTATAATTTATTGGTGCTGTAGGCTAGATTTACTAGTCAATTTGATTTATTGCTGAGATATTTCATTTATTTACATTTTTTGAACATCACATACTTTCCTCTGTTGCTTTTTATGTTTGCCTGAGGACAGTAGGATTAGACTCCTGGATCCTCTTATAAGATAGAAATGTACGTTTTTTTTCTTTTTATTCTCATTATTCTTTAATCTCATTTACATTTGCATTACCATCGGGAATTAAATGTTAAATCACAGTTAAGGCAAAGCATTTAAGCCTTGGCCTCAACATTCCCATCACACCACTGCTCCATTTGTTTTGGTATGTCAGAGTCTTTTTGCGGTAAGGTTAATGACAGTGAAGAGAACATAATTAGCTTTAAAGAACGACTGAACTGAACTCATCCTCTCTAATTGCATACCTCCTCAGTGTGTTGTGCTGACAAATTATACTTTTTATTTTCTTTAATCATTTTTTGTGTGGTAAAAATAACAAAATGGGTTAAAATAACAAAAGCTGCTTTGAGAAGATGCTGCCACACAAATCCATGATGTCTCATATTGATTTCATGCACATATTGTTTTTGGTTCCCAGGGCGCCGGTACTGATGACAACGTGCTGATTGAGATCCTGGCCTCCAGGACCAGCGAAGAGATTAAAGATATCATCAAAGTGTACAAGAAAGGTGACTTACTCAGCTGTGAAATAGAGAGACAAAAAACAGAAAAACATGTTTACTGTTACTGTTATTGGTTAGTTGGCTTCTTTTTGCTTTGAGGTGAGAAGGTTCAATGTGACCAACGTACATACATATTTCAGTATTGTGAAGAGTGTAAAGAGCAACTGAACACCAATATTTCTTTTTTTATCTCCAGTCGTTTAACGTATTACTTTGTTGCAGTGACATAAAAGTGTACTCCAGTACACTGTGACATCATTGTTGGGTGTAGTTACAGGTGCAAAACACTTTCAGAGAAAAATCCACTGCTTTTCAGCCTACTAAGTTACTCTTTAACTATAACATCGACCATATGAAAAATTTTGTGCCACCACTATCAAAATAATCACGCTGTCTAATGAACATCACGGAACAAAATGGATACCTAAATAGAGTTGTTCACTTATGCTAAATCAAGAGTATTTCTACAATGTTTCCATGGATTAAAGATTCAGTGTGTAATATTTCGAAGGATCTATTGCAATATGCAATATAGTTTCCAGAACTATGCTTTCAGTGGTGTATAAAACCTTACATAATGTTAACCGTTAAGTTTTTATTACCTTACATGAGACATTTCTATCTACATACCTCTCACATCGACGTCGCCATGTTGTGCTGCCATGTTTCTACAGTAGCCCAAACGGACAAAAGTCGCTGCAGAGTGCGTTTTGTCACTATGTTGAATACATACAAAGAAGAAAAAGAAGAAGTAGTATCGTTAGTAGTAGTTGTTGACTGGTTTATTTGAAGTAAGAAGAGAAGTGAAATTTGGACAAATGGAGGCCCACACGTTTCGTTTAGCACGAGAGCCGACAGAACGTGTCAGCCACCGTTGCTTCTCCTGTACGCTTGGAAACGGAGAGTGACTTATGGTGCCTTCATGTGGTGTCGGTATAATCAGAATATTTTTTTCCTCCTTAAATCTTCTTTGCAAAAAGAGAAATAAAGTGTACATGAATATAAAGAAGTGCTTAAGTTTGGATCTTCTGGTGAGTTTTGACTGATTAATAATTATTTTGACACATTTCGACAACTAGCTGAACTGTAAATATGACAATCTTGCATAAAAGCTTGACACAAAATTAAAGGTTTTCATGCAGATTTCTAGTATCAATGGTATTTTCTCCAGTGAATAGATTCAAATGTGTCGCTGCAAGAATATCTCTAACACACCAGCTTCAAATTGCCATGAACCACAATGGAAAATAGTATGAGACAACAACAGAGGGCCAAAGGCAAAGAAGCCAGTTTATTTGATCAGGTCAGAAGAGACGTCCATGCTGTCCTTTAGCTGACTAATCTAATCTCTGCTGTCGGAGATCCTCCCGCAAAACAGAGGACTGCCCACGAGAGTTGATTGCAACAATTAGAGTCAGGAAGTGTAAGCAATCTTCTGCCCCTCTTCTCCTCTTTCTTCCAGAGTTCAACGGCAAGCTGGAGAAAGATATCTGCGGTGACACCACAGGGCACTATCAGAAACTACTGGTGATCCTCCTGCAGGTAGAAAAGAGGGCTGCTGGAATGACTTATGTTTCCTTTCGTGATAATGAGAGTCTTTGGAGATGCCATTACAAAGACATGAGAAGTTTAGGTGTGGGTTGGGGAAGGGGAGCGTGATGACACAATACACTACAGTTGGTTTCTTGAATGTGTTTGAATTACAGACAGAAGTTTCATCTTCATGGGTTACCTGAGTTGAGAGAGGCTCACAGTGTTCCTATCCACACTGACCTACTTTTTCATTCTGTTTGGGAACCTGTCTGTCTTTCTACATGTCTCTCTTTCTGTCTGGTTGATCGTTTGTGCGACTGAGAAGGGCGACAGGGAGGAGGGAGTAGACGAGGGAAAGATCGAGAAAGACGCTAAGGTAAGAAGAACATGAGAAATTTGGCCTTTTGCTTTAAACATCTTTCGTGGATGTTAGACAATTTCTTGCAATTTCAAAAACCAACCTAAAAGGTCATATTTATTCACAAGGGATCCCTTTTTCATCAGCAATCCCTGTTACCAAGAACACAAAGAATATATTGCTATTTGTACCCTAATCCATCCCTGGTGTCACTTTTACCAGACATGCCAGTGATGCCACTGAACACTTCTGAAAAACCCTTGATTATGCTCAAAGCCAACATTTTATATGTCTAGTGTCAACATTTTTAAAATGCTGACTTTCAACAATATGTGCTCATGGCTGCTCTGGTATAGTGCTTATGGTAAAGAAAACATGGACTATTTCTTGGCTTGATGTAGTAACTTCCTGTAGTCTCCACTGACTGCATTGCAAGAAATTATCTGGCACATACTGTAACTCCTGTTAATAAAGTTGTTTGTAAACTTTGATATTTGTATGGATAAAATTAGCTTTTGAGGTACAGGTAGGCAGATTTTGTTACCTTTGCACAGAGCCAGGCTAGCATGTTTCCCCGTTTCCAATCTTTATGCTATGCTATGCTAAGCTAAGTGCCTGCTGGCTGTAGGACCGTGGTATGGATACTCTCATCTAACTCCCTCCAGACAAATTAATACACATATTTCCAAAAATTTCCTTTTAGGGTTGGGGAAAGATCGCGATTACGGTTAATAGAAATGCAAATCTGACTGGAGGGGCTATAGGCCACTCTACTTCCTGCGTTGCTACTGAATATTTGCAGAATCATCCAATAAAGATGTAATTCCAAGGGATTAAAAGCCATTTAGCCTTTAATATGTGTAATTAAGTCATCTTTAAAATGATAAACTGTGAGAACAGCGCCCCCTTCCTGTTTTGTGCTATAAAGTATTCAAACATCTGGTGGCTAGAGATGCTTTGAAGTAGCTGTGGGTAGTGGTTTCATTGTTCACAATAACTACATTAATGTATAATCTTGAAATTGGTTAGATGTAACATAGAGTAGATTAAAAAAATTAAAACTAAAGAAAAATCCTACACAACAGGTAGATGACCATTCATATTTCATATTTAACTTAATTTCACTACCTTCTTTCAAATGTCAACATATTAAATACATGATCATATTTCTGTGGCTGCTCTCAAAAGTACAGGAAAGCTAAAGGCCAAGGCTTAAGAATAGTCAATAGAAAAAAATTAATTAAAGGATACAAACCTCAGGGAATGGAGAATCTTGTTTCCTGTAAACCATTATTGATTTTTTCGTTATTATTTCTGTATTTGATTCATTTTTATTAATCTGACAATGAGATGAGATAATGAGAGACAAAAACATGTACCATAGAAGTAAAAGGGAAAGAACCTCAAATCCAGAATTCCAAAGACAAATCAAGAAAAACTAAACTTTTTCATGCAGTTTTGGCACAGTACAGGGTCCTTCATCATTGCTGTCATTTCTCCTTTGTCCGTGTGTTCCAATAAATCATGCACAAGGTTGTAAATGTACAAGTGTGTGTGTGCCACTGCAGGACTTGCACGCTGCTGGTGAGGGCAAGTTTGGCACAGATGAGGAAACATTCATCACAATTCTTGGCAACAGGAGCGCAGAGCATCTTAGAAAAGGTGAGTTTGTTTGTGCCAGCATGTTAGTATGTTGTGATGTGTGTGTCTCCTGCTGATGAAAGCAACATAAAATGTTGTTAACAACATAACATCACTGCCCATTCATGTTTTACTTCATTCATTCACCTAAATAATTAATTAAAAAAGTCAGTTACTGTTTAAATAAATGTTAGATTGAGCTGTATGAGTGATACTTGGTATAGTTGTTGCTGACAAATACACCGAGAAGAACCCTAAATTTCAGTAATTTAAAAAAAAAGAAATGCAGAAATATTGTAAAAAGTTATTGTAAGAAGTACAACAAATCATCAGTGTTTAAGAAGTGAGGTTGAAATGTGCAGGAGAGACTGAAACAATACAAACCTTAGACACACAATGTGAGAACGTGACAAAAAAGTAGAGAGCACGAGAGTTCGTAGAATTTATTAAAGGTATGATAAACAACAACCACAAGCTCAGTCCTGAGGGCAAAAATTGCTCACTGCAAAGAGAGGTCAGAGAGGAAAACGGCAAGACTTGTTTTTGTTTGGTCACTCAGATCCCACCTGAATGCACAACTCACTGAAAAATTGAAGTGAATGGACTCAAGTAGCAAAAAAGCAGCAACAAACAAGTCAGTCACTGAAAGGGAACGTTACAACCAACGAGAGTCAGCAATGAGTAGCCATTAGAGGAACTTCATATAAAAGTACTTTTACATCAACAAGCCCTCATACCTAAATGACAAAATTGCTTGCCTTCAAATTTACCTTTAACATCATTCCAAAAATCACACATATATGCGTTTTCTGATGAAGCATTTCTATTGTTACATTTATGCAACTGGATGTCACCATCTGCCTCCTCGTGCCTTCTCTCCAGCAACATTTTTGTTTCCCCAGGCTCCTTTATTGTCTTTTTCTGTCCACCCACCAGGTGGCTTTGGACTTTCCCTCCTTTTCCAATCACCTGACTGCCCCGCTCATCTTCCATCTTCAGCTCTGCAATTAACTGGCCTGCCCCTCCCGCCTCCTCACCTGCATCTTGTTAATCAGCCACTCTCTACATACACCTGATCTTTTGTTCCTGTGACAGTTTGTCCTAATTGTTATCTTTCTGTCTTGCGTTGTGTTTTTAGCTTTAGAGCTTCTGTCACCTGGACCCAAACCTGACAGTCAGTTTTACCTTTAAGCTATTCTCATCAATAAACCACTGAAGTCATCCTGCTACCTTCTTCATCTGTGTTTGGGTGTAGTCTTGCATTTCGTGAGGACTGCGATTAGTCAGGCAGAGAATAAAATAAAATGCAATACATCGACAATAAAAAAGACAAATCTGTTCAATACCCCCTCCCCCACCCCAGTACATGGTAAAATGACTGCTTTACAGTTTTTGCAATTTGGGGTTCAGCAGGTTCACCCAAGACACCCTGTGATCAGTGGACAACCCTCTCTACATTCTGAGCCATTCTGGTTCTATTTGCAGTTTAATCTATCAAATATGTGTCTGATCATCAAGTAGTAAAGTTTATTGTGGTGTTTTTGCTTTTGGTTGTTAATGGTGTACTTAATAAATTGAATTGGGTGCAATATTACAGATGAATACATAGAGAATCACTCTCATGCAGAATGGAAAGAAAAAAATAAGCTCTGAAAAAGTCATGTTAGTCTTCAGTTCAATTAATGTAAGCTGCACTGAAGTCAAAATGGTCCAGCCTTTTAAACACTAGATAAGGTTTATTCCACTCTTAAGAGAACATTAAAATCACTGTGGTTGTTTTGTTCTCATTAGTGTTTGATGCCTACAAGAAGCTCTCTGGCTCTGACATAGAGGACAGCATTGAAGGAGAGACCACTGGGAATTTGGAGAACTTACTGCTAGCAGTTGGTAAGACCTGTGATTTATCAGGATGATACTTTAATGATCATAAACAGAATAGAAACTGAAGCCAACACAATGTCACAATAACATGAAGAAAATGCAATTTTACACAGAAACTTGTCAATGCCTCATTTTTTTTCTCCACAGTCAAATGTGCCAGGAGTGTTCCAGATTTTTTTGCTGAACTCCTGTATAAATCTATGAGGGTAGGTATCTGTGTCCCACAGTACTGCACGGAAGCTCTTCATATCTCACCACATGTGGTTTTAGTTAGTGGTTAATAGTGTTTTTGTAGGATTTTATTCCAAAAGAGACTTCAAATCCACTGGGAGAAAAAGCACTTTCAAAAAGGATTTCTAACAGAAAGATAAAATATATTGTGGGACTGATGCCATGCACTCACTTTGGGTCCTTAGAGGAAGAGTTTGACACTACTGGAAATACACTTATTTGCTTTCTTGCAGGGAGTCTCTGCTGGTTGCCTGATAACTCTTCGCCAAGAAATAGTTGCAACACATAGCCCTGATAAAAACATAACTGCTTGTTTTTACAGTTTGGCGGCTTTTTGTGGCAGGTGTGTGTGTTTTTTTTAAATCTGGACAAAGCCAATCTAGCTGTTTTCCCCTGTTTCTGAACTATTGCTTTAAAGAACCACACCAGTAATTGTGCGTGTTTTAGAAATCAGATACACTTTAACTAACCATACTGTACTCAGTACTGTTTTCAAATTGATTTTATTAACTTCAATATGAAAAAATATCAAAACTAAATAATTTGTTTGTGGTAATGCAGTTCATAGGAACAGTCCAAAACCTTTGTGAGAAACCTTTGCGGAGAGTTAGATAAGAAGATCAGTGCAGTGTTGTGTCTGTGATAAATATGAAGCTGTGGCCAGCAGCCAGTTAGCTTATTTAACATAATGACTGGAAACAGGGGTATCAGCTGGTCTGGCTGGTAAGGTGATGAAATCTACTAAACAATGTGGTATCAAGCTTATCATTTAACTCTCAGCAAGAAAGCAAATAAGCCTATGTTTAGTGTGATTGATTACTGTACATATTCTTAAGTAAGCTTCAAAAGTCTACTAATTGATTTTGATATATTTCGTATCATAAAGAAGTGAAACCAAAGGCTGCCTGGAATGGTAGGAAAAATACATCCAGAAATCTGTACAGCATGTATTTTAAATTTATTGGCAAAAATGATACTATAGTACTATACATGATTAGTTAAGGAGTTTAAACTTCCAAAATCACTGGAATTCCAGTTGTGTTGAAGAACTAATTTTCAAGTGGCAACTTCTCTTTGAAAGGGAATTTACAGCATAGTTAGAGAATTCAACTCTTCACCTATCCTGCAATAGGACTGTGTCATATGCTATATTGTGGCATTCTAGGTTCTGCATCTGAGGAAAAGTGCATCTGAGGAAAAGACTTCAGCACCTGAAAGAAATAAAAAGAAAGATGTTTTCCAGTTTTGTTGACCATAAAGCTGGTTGAAGATCTAATTTTATAGATCATTAACCACAATTGAATTTGTTTCTATGTTTAGCGCGCTGGAACTGATGACGACACTCTGATGAGAATAATGGTGTCGAGGAGTGAGGTGGACATGTTGGACATCAGAGCCAGCTTCAAAAAGAAATATGGAGCCTCTCTTTACACCACTATCAAGGTATTGCTCACTCAAACACAAAGATATTATCAACCTTTTCAGTGTTTCTGTATATTTTGATCTTTTTATATATGTATATCTCACTTTTTTATGACATTTACTAAATAGTCTAAGCCTTCAGAAAAAGAAAAGATGTAATTCTCTTCTAAACATCCTCATCTTTTCTTCTGGATGCTTTAAAGCACCAGCTGGGTGCATTACACTTATGCTGCTGCGCTGACACCATTCGTGTCAGTGCAGTGATGAGTGGAGATTAGTGATTTACTTTAAATGCCTTGTTCAGCGTGATGAGACTGCTTCCTTGCTTTTCACACAAGCCGAAGTGAATTAATCTATTCTCCTGGGGCCAGATGTTCATACAGTGAGGAGCTATTGCCATCCTCCTGTACAACCTCCAAATGGCCAACATTGAATAGATAAATTAGACATTATGAAATAACCTTGGTGCAGGTAAATATAAAATGAGCCAATATATAGTGTTTAAAGTTTTAGTAGAGTTCATTAATTTTTGATTATAGCAATTAATATTTCAAATGGCTGCCTTTGTCAAAAGTGTTTATGTTTCATAGTGGTATTAGTTATTAGAGATTTCTCGCTGCTGATATTTGTGACTTGTCAATCACAGGTCTAAGTGATATTTAATAATGGCTGCATTCCATTCAGATATTGCACTTCCATGGATGTAGTGTTATGCATGATGGTTCACAGTCATGGCTCACTGGTTATGTAAGAGTTACCATAATTACACATTTCTATTTCTTAAGTAGCATTCACATAAATTAGAATTTTAATAATAGTGAAGTGCCTGGAAAAGCACCTATTATAGAAAAAGTCTACAATAGATTATAGGCAAAGTCTATAATAGGTGCAAGATAACTGTACCCATATTTATTGGAAAGAACTTCTGATGTATCAACTCAGAATTGACTTAGCAAGTAAAGAGGAACCATATGTTATGTGATCATTATTTGTCTGATGTTTTTGCAGGAGGACACAGATGGAGACTACCAGAAGGCTCTACTTTACCTCTGTGGTGGGAATGATTAATACTGTTTTATGATGTGTTTAGCAGCACTGAATGATGAGCTGCCACGTTGCTGTGAGACAAAGCTACAAATGAGATAAGGATATCGATCCAGAGTTCGTTCTAACTTTAGCTTGCTATTGATTAAGTTAGTGTGAATTACCCATTTATTATTTTGACTTATGACAATATATTCTGCATGAACAATAGTTAGAGTGCTTTCACTTAGAAGTTAAATAAATATTTGTTTAATATTAGATATAGTTTAAACAGAAAACCACCACAATAATGATTACAGGTGCAGCTTTGGTTAATAGTAGCTATGTTTGAAGTACTTATGTGGTTATTTTTAAACACTTGTTTTGCTTCAGTCATATGGCCTTGTGTGTTGTCAAATTTACATACGATGTAAGTTGTTACCTAATTTGTGCACAGTGCTCATGGCATATGTTAAATGCAACTTAGAAAATACAACACTGCAGCTGAATAATTAAACCCTACATGTTGACAGCGGTCCCACTCATTAATTACAAATTAACTGCTGATCCAGACTCGTATTGCAGTGCAGCTGTCAGTGATCAATAAGTAATAGGACACTAATACACATTTGTTGACTCATATAAATATATCTACTGCCTCCATGTCTTTCTTTATGAAGGAGCATGATGTCAAACAAATTGGGTCCTTAGATCAATAGATGGAAACTGACTTTACTTTGCTGGAGTTGTACCAGAGGGTGGCAGCAAAGTCTGAGATCAGTAGACTGTTTCTCCACATGGTTTTCATTCACAGTGACTTAAGAAATTGAAATACCATACAATTTTTTGTGAATGTGAAGTTGTGCTATTTCAATAGCTAAAGTATTTATATTTTTCACAAACAAATTCCAAAATTCAAGTGCCCAGCATTCAAAAACTGTATTGATTTTGGTTGGTGTTTTATTTGACCTTAGCTTTATTATGTATTATTTTCTTATCATAAGATTTTAGATTAACTGTTTGTTTTTCATTCACTTGAACCCCTGAACCATCAAAGTAAAAATGTTTTCCCACGCTATTTCACTTAATTTAAGTAATATGAATGTTTGTCTTATGGTCTTGTGGATCATTTTATGTGTCTATGTGATTCAGCACATTCAGATATATTTTATATCTTGGGAACCTTTCAATCTGAACTAGAATTTAAAATAAAGTTCACACAGTAAAACACATTTCTAAGTAACATGAACTTAATAATTGTCAACATGAATGCAAGTATTTAAGTTGATCCAACATAATGTTTTAAGTTAGGTGAAGAAGCTTTTTGGCCACAATAAAACACATTTCTAAGTAACATGAACTTAATAATTAATCCTCGCAAGAGTTAAGTTGTGTGTTAGCGAGTTATCTTTAGTATTTCTTCTCATCTGAATCATAGCCAGCTAACTGGCTAACGTAGCTACTTGCAGTTTATAAACGTACTGTAGCTAGCCTACATGCTAACCGGAGCGGTGGCTAATGGGTGATCCCATATAAAGTTAGCTTGCCAAGACGTTTTCCATGGCTGCCTGGCCACCTGTTACTACCGCATTTAAGCCTACTCAGTCAGTGACAGGCTACAGCTACTAGCTAACTTTATCTCGGCACACAGATTGTACTATCAACACTGCTCAAATTTCAGAGTAAGGACTTCCAGATTTCAGTATTCGGTTACAGTAGGCTATCACCAACAGAATCCTGAGAGAATGCAAATATGTGTAATTAAGCATAAAATTACTTACCATTCAACACATTATGCTTCAATGACTTTCAGCTGTGGCCCTGTGGTCACTGTGGCCTTGAACATGCACGCACATGCAAGAGAAGGAAACTGTGGGCCGTTTAAACGTCAACAAATTGTATTTTACGTTAACAGAACTTAAAATTAATTAATTTTTAATTAACTGACAATGTTAAACTCTGACAAGTCATGATAGTATATTGAATCAATAGGCATAATTTGTGTGTCATCCAAGCTCAATAAAATAACAATTACAAGTAAAAAGTCTAACAGTATCTAAGAATTTGAACAATATAAATATTTAAGTAATGACTTAAGGTCCCCTGAATTAATTTTTAGAGTGCAGTGCCACTGGGGTTGAAGACGTTCATATATTAAATTATTATTTGATCTATTTCAGCTCAGTGATTCCAGTAGGAAACATACACTGCATCAGTTTGTCATGATTTTTATAGTTGAATTCAGCTTGTTTGAGTAAGCACGGCAGCTACAACAGCAAGCCTATTTGCCTACTCCACTCTCACAGTTGTAAATGTAAATCTGAGTTTGGTTTCATCTTAACAATCACTGACACATGCCTATATGTCAGAAAATTAACCTGAGTAGGTATTTATAGCTGTGATCCAGAACCCTCTCCTGACGTTCAAAAATTTCTGCCAGATGTTGTTATGTATTCAAAAACTGCCTGAAGGTTCAAGTTGAAAAATATTTTCATGTATTGGCATGCTTTTCCTTAGAGGCCCATTATCACTTCGCAGACATGTATTCACTCCAATCCACTTCAAAATGACTCACAAATTCATGTTATCTTATAGTCAATCAGGTAAGGAGCCACAATTGCATTTTTGCTGCTGTCTGAGATTATTATTGCAACTAAGCTCCCACACATTATTTTGTTTCATATATAATGCAGAGATGAGAACGATGTTGTGCAAGTAAATGTGTACATTTATTACAGATCTGAAGCTGACAGGGAGAACAGTACTGACTGTATTTTCTGGCAACTTTGTTAACAAATCCAGTGCATCACAATCCGATTTCACAACAGAAGCCAAATTGAAATATCAGTATGAAACCACAAAATAGACAAAACAAGTATACTAAAATACAATACAGTAAAAAAAGAAAAAGAAAAAAGAGAGAGAGATTAAGAGATTAATGTAGTAGTACATTTTGAGTACTAGACCTAAAGATGAAACAGAAACGTCAAACTTGATTTTAAAAATATCCTTGATTCTACATTGACACAAAAAAGGGATCAAAACCAATATAAATATTTTAAATATATAATGAAGTGTAGTTGTGACTGCTGTTGGCTGTTACCTGATAACCGTCCTCTAATTTAAATGAGGTAAACCTGCTGACTCGAGGCATTCCAGTTTTAATGCTGATGCCTGACTGGACACATTAGTTAGTCAGTACCATGTCCAGTTTATGAAGTGTTTACTGAAACCTACTAAAACACCCTTAAATTTAACCTTAAAAAATAAAAATAAGTTAGCTAATACAATTTGAAGAGAATTTATCAACAATAAGCATCTAAATCACGGCCTTTACATTAGTCTACAATAAACATACCGCCATTAACACAACAAGTCCTTCATGGTTGTCTTCCACTTGCTAAGATCTCCACTGTGCTTTAATAAAACATCCCTATAATATTTCTACAGGTTGGCTGGTTGATACAGTTGGTAATCTGTAAGAATGACTTAGGGCTTTTGTGGCCAGTGGCTGCAAATTCTGACTGTCATAAATCACTTGTCACCAGCCTCCAGTATCATATTTAATTGTATTCTCAAATAAAATATTATGAAGTAGAATTTTTTCTCCAATTTAGTAGGCTATTTTATGTCACTTCTTTGCCAAAAATGTCATAGTCAGTGTCAATGTGACTTGGTCAGTTATAGGCCACTTTATGTTGCAGTCAGAGTCCTGGTGGATGCTGATTTATTGGTTACACCACACACTTATCAGTCTCATTTCACACTAACAATGTAATATTTGTGGTGTTTCATTAATTCCCTTAAGTTCTTTGTAATCTTGGCTCCAACCATCTTACAGCTCTTTACAAAGCAAATTCCCATTCACACACATACAAAGGCATTCATAATTGCATGTAAGCCTGTTTGTACACACACACACACACACACACACACAAATCTCCTTATCGTCAGTAGTGCTGGGGTGCGTTCTCCCTGCTTTCTGTTTGACCAAAACCCACATCTTTCAGCCAATCAGTAGCCACAGGCAGTCAGGCCACCACTAAGTCCCACACCACCCACAGTGAAACACCTGAAACATTAAACTAACTAGCTGTTTAGCAGAAACAAACAAAATTGTTTCCCAACTTCCCAGCTTCTCAGTCAACTAAAGGACTTACTTTTTTTTTTACCAATCTGACAGTCTTGATTCAGTCCTAAATAATTACTTACCAATATGAAGGATAACAGCAATACTTTTTTCCTACTCCAGTGTCTCTGGGAATTATATACAAATTGGACAATTCTACATATCACGATTTATGTCCAATGCCAACGTTCAGTGCCAATGCAAGAATTTGTGTGTCCTTTATATAGTAAAAGGGAAATTACAGGTTTGGAAGTCAGGGTGTATGGAAAGCCAAGGATGCCAAAAAAATTAGAAATTCACGCCTGAAGTCATGCATTGTAAATTTCACGTTTTTAGCATTCTGGGCTTTCCATAGATTGGACATCAGAGCTTTATGCGGAAGACCAGTTTAGCTGCAGTCAAAAAAACATCCTTTCCTTACCACTTTTCTTGACCTCAATGGAAAAGGTCATGAGGTCAAGGAAATATGTGAGGTAGAATTCATAAGGAATTAGCAAAAGACAACCAAGGGGCTAAGAGAATCTGACTGCATAATGGCTGCCACTTCAATACTTCAGTGTCACTTCACTCAGTTAGGAACCTTCTTAAGCAAAAAAAGACTTTTTGACCGCAGCCTGTGTGTCCCGTCATAGACCTGCAACTAAGATTTGCCTTTTTATTTCATCTGATCATGGTAATACCAATACATAAATAAACGGTTTTTACATTGATTATTAAATCTCTGGTAATATCAGGGTTTATTGCTGTGTTGTCATAGATGTTCTTCTAATAACAATGGATGTGAAATAACCTTTAAAATGTTTCAAATGAATGGGAATTCAACCCTGGTGGGGATGCAACCACTACATGGTAATGGCCAGCTCAGCACCACAGAGGGCTCTCAGGTGATACAACCTGTCTACTGACATAGTGACAGGATAACAGTAAAAACTGACAATGTTTTCTAAATTCTGTAGCACAAAAAAATAAATACACACTGTTAATGTTTGGAGCACTTCAAGAGTTTATTTTAGCTCTTGTACCACAATGCAACATGTGAAGGAATGGGAAAATGGAGGTTGTCAATCAGCTTCTACTAAAAATCACAAAAATAATCATTGATTTTGCAGATTCAGCCCTCCCCTTCACACACACACACACACACACACACACACAGCATGATTGGAGGGCTTAAAAAGTTTCTAAAATCAAAATGTATTTGTTTTAAATTGCTGCTTTAAATGTTCTGAGGATTGTGTATTTAACTGAGCCGCATACAGGGACTGAGAACATTTCTGCTTCCAGAACACCATTAGCTAGATAATTCACACACACAGCACTTTCATTCTGTACTGGATGAGCTACAGTAACCTAATGCATGGGTGACCCATTTTGTCCACTCACTGAGATATACACTATACAGTTGGACAGCACTTAATTTAATGTATTTTCATTTACTATCCTAATGGAGCAGAATGTAGCAGCACAGAGCATTCAGGTGATTACTGAAATGTGTCTTGTGTTTTCAGCAGCTGGTGCTTAAAAAGCTTTCAAAACACCTCCTAAATATACTTCTATATTCACTGCATTCCTGCAGTTGTTTTGTGACTGCCCTCTATATTCTTTTTTGTTGCAGCCACATTGCTTTAGTCTGCCTCATCTACCATTAGAATTTCCTACATGGCCCAGAATGCAACCTGCTGAGAGTCTGAACTTGATGGATTTTAGCTGTGGGTAATACATTATGTTACAGCAGGAGATGAAGCTGAAATCATCAAGACAAAATGAGTCCCTTTTCCCAAAATGCAACATGTCCTGAGGCTGGTTTGTTCTGGTCTGTGGAGAAAGTCGTGTCTGCCTCTTAGGTAAAAATCTCTGTATGATTGCTGAATGTCGCTACTGACACTTTAGCCTAATCCTGACATTATATTGCATTATTTCATCAACTATTGGTCCTGTTAATGTCAGAAAGAATACACATATACTAAACAAACAACACATGTAAAATCTGAAACAGAGAAATAGACTTAACAAACAAGCAATGAGGAAGTGTTACAGGATTTGTGTATTTTTCCTTAATTTTCCCAAACATTGATTCTGGTCACTAGTTACACTGATGCCATTTTATCTGCCCCTGAGTTGAAGGGACTTTACTTTATGCTACTTTATTTCACTACATTTCATAGAGAAATACTGTACTTTTCATTTCACTACATTAACTCAAGATTTTACAAACAAAACTTATGATCAGTTAGATTCATTGCGACATGTTAAACTACCAAAAGTATATGAAGTATATACTTTTGATACTTTAAGTACATTTTGTTGCTAATACTTAGTGTACTTTTACTTAAGTGAAACTTTGAATGCATGACTACTTGTATTTGAGTATTTTCATATTGTGGTATTTTTACTTTTATTTAGATGATTTGAATGCTTCCTCCACCACTGGCTTTTAGTGGATTAAATTTATGAACACTGATTTTGCAAGTTAAGCATGTGATGTTTTAATGTTTTCATACTGAGAATGTGGATTCAGAGGCAGGTCAGTACCAAAGTATGCAGGCCAAGGCGTCTAAAAAATCACACTGACTCTGATTAAATTACTGTGTCAATACCCAACATGCTCAAACTGCTAATCTCCCAGCAAATGCCTGCGGCAGGACAGTGCACACACATTTGGAGAAGAATGAAAGGGGTTTCGACATAAATTAAATTGTTTTAAAAGGACAACAAGGTGATCTTATTTAAGTAATTCTTCTTTTCAAAATCAAGTAAGTATGATGGAAAACATGCCTTTAAATGAAATCACATGAAGTTGTGGTGACTAGACACAAAAATGGAGAGGGGCATGCAGGATATCTGTGCTTAAGTTGTGTATGTGTGGTTACAAGAGGCAACAATCAAGGTATTCTTTTTAAAATCAAGTTATCACTAATACATTTCTCCCAAATTAACGAATCATAGAGCAACATTAACTAGATAAAAAAGGTATTTATTAAGGGCTAGAACCACTATTAACAATTTGAAGAAATACTTCCAGTGTGCAATCTACATAAAATACTAAAATTATTCTGTGAGAATAGATTACATCTTTCTTCTGTAAAGTGTGTATAATTAGACATGTAGAGAGCTGAATTTATTTCACCTTTGCACTTTTTCTGTCTCAGCAATCATAATCCTGCACCATAGTGAAAAAGAAGGTGCAAACACTCGACCAGGAGTCGTTGCAGTACTCCTCTGCCCTCTTCTTGTTATCAGGTTGACAGGATTTGACAGCTCTGGGTGTGGGCAGTGGGATGGAAGGCGAGTCAGTCTTTCTCTGTGCATTATGGAGTCTGAAATTAGCTTCTCTGGCAGCTCTTCTGCACATGCCCGCCCTGACCAAAGCACGACTGTCCTGGCACAAATTCTTTTGCTTCTTCAGTGCCCTGGCGATTTGCTTCCAGTAAAGATTGACATTGGAAGAGTACTGGGGACAAACAGCTGGTCTGGAGACATACTCACAGCTGAAGCTCCTGTCTCTCTTCTTGCAGCTGACACTGAGAATGAAGAGGTCCTCACCTGTCGCTTCCCAGGTACACTCTGACTTGTCTTTGGTAACCATTTTGCCCTTAATGGGCTGGGCAGAGACAGATTTGGGTTGACGGCCCACCTTTAGGCCTGGCTTGGTCCTGTCTTGTCTTCTGTCCATCCCCCGTCCCCTCCTCCCTTGGCTTTTCTGACAGCTGCTCAACATCAGCTGATGGGAAATACAAGCCAGAATAAGCAGGATGGCGACATTGGTGAGGAGAGCCATGAAACCAGCAGAACACACCCTGCAAGAGGGATACATTCAGATTTAGATATCTAATCTTAAATCCCTTTCATTTCCCTTTGACAAAAGAATCATTAAAATCCCCTATGTTTTAGAAGGAAATTACTCTTTTACTTACAGAAGCATTATGTGGGTACTCAAGGCTAAAGATAGTTAGATGAAGACAGTTAACTCTTTTATGGCAAAAATTACCAAAATAAGTCCTTCACATTAAGATATTAAAAAAGACATAAAACAATATATAAATTGGCTTTTACAAGAGTGAAATAAAGTAAAAGATAATAAGATATAAAGGAACAAATCAGAATGAACAGAGGAATAAAGAGTTACAGTGCAATGAGAGATATGAATAAATAGCCCCAAACCTTTATAAAATAAAATGATATAATTTAGATTAGAATATAACCTATGAAGCAATCAAAGTAAAGGGTGACATGAATGTAGTGATAGCATAGAAAGTAAAAAAAGACAATGCAGACACACACTCTATAGTAACATTATATGGTAAATAATAGGAAAAATATGATGAATTTAATTAGATAAGTACTGTGTGTAATTCACTGTAACATTAAACATTAAAGAACATGAAGCTGATATATCATAAAGAAGGTAGTGAAGTAAGTATCAGCTACCATGTACACACACTACAAGTCCTACTAATATCAAAGTGATTAGTCATCAAGCATCAATACAGATGAAACTTACCTGCAGCTTTCAGAGTAAACTTTGGTTTACACTCCTGACACTGAGAGCTGAGAGTCCCCTTTCCCTGCAGCTGCAGTATGTTGCTGCAGATTCAGCCCTCCCCTTCACACACACACACACACACACACACACACACACATTCACACAGCATGATTGGAGGGCTTAAAAAGTTTGTTGAGTTCACACTAGTCAGCCAAGGAAAAAGTTCACGGATATCTTGAGCCAAATTGCCTGTGAAATCATTTTTGGTATTTTGATCAAGCTCAAACTAAGAGATAATTGCCATTGTAGAAGCTTGTGATGTAATTTTTTAACATTTCTTTCAATTAATAAACTTATTCTGGTGAAATCAAATAAAATACTATCACCAAAATAAAAGTCTTCTTAACAGCCTGCACAATGAGATAATTTCACTTTTAAAAAGTGCTTACACTAGTCTCCCTCACTATTTCATGGACTGTGACATCTTATTTCGGGCCTTTAACTGATTTATTTAAATTAAGAAAAGGAAAAAGACTTTAAACTGGTATCCAACGAAGGTTAAAGTCAAGGGCAACTAGACTTGGTTGAAGATACTGGAAGACGTTTCGTCCCTCATCCAAAGGACTTCTTCAGTTCTTTATTCTTTAAACTGGTATGTTTGTAAAAACATGCAAACACTTACAGATGTATGTTGATATATCAGGATTAAATCTGTTTTGGCAGATTGTGCTGCATGCTTCAGTCACACGTGTTTTATGATAACTTCATTTTTAATCTGTTATGTTAAACAAAACTAACTCTGGGTTTTTTAAGACCTTCACTGGACCGTCTGTTAGTACAGAGTGTCAAAGATAAAATGACTTGAAATATCTTGAAATGAGCCAGTTTCCTTGTAGGAGAAAATCACTGCCTGATTGAACTTGAAGGTCTGCTTAACATGAGCAACAGTGGTACCCAATGGCCAAATATGGTGTAGCAGGTAATTCCACTGTTTCATGGTCATTATGATGATGATTTATTTTAAAAACATAATGATATAGTATAGCAGTGGTTTTCAATATTGTTATTATTTTTGCCTTTTCTTTTTTGCAAATGTCACTAAATTCAATACATTTCACTTTCTTGCACGATTTTTGTAGTTTTGTTTATCATCAAGAAGGAGTAATAACATTGAGCTGATCAACACAGAATAATCAAGAATAATGTTTATTTTTGTAATACAATTTTCACATTCATTATATTTGTTTCTGTCAAATAAATCAGTACAGAAACCACTGACTTTTTCAGACCAAAATAAACCTTGGTCTTTCTAAACAGTGTAATATTCAAGGTCATATTAAGTGATGTAAGTAGATTATATACAAGTAAACAAACATAATACAAACAAATACATATAAGTGACAAGAATGAGTTGCCTGTCTCTTCTATCTTGGGCTCATATATTGTTGTAAAAGTTTGTGCACTTGCAGAAACCCTCTCACAAGTTAAACTCGAACATAGTACAATTTCATACATGTGCTTCATAGCTGTTTTGCAAAATATTTATTCTTCACAATTAAGCAGTTAGGGAGTTTTTCCAGCTGTGACATTTGGAAGATAACACATGTAAGGTTCACTTAGAAATCGTGCTTTGGATGTCGCAGCAGTACCATGCTTTCCCTGAAGAGAGCGCTGCAGTTCTTCCAACACGGATGAACAAATTTCTCATCTGGAAGTTCCCTCCCAGGACCACTTTAAGCAGACATCAGAAGTTATCTTCATCAGAATTGTTAATCTGTGAATATAACAGAGGGGGGAGTGCATATACAGTTGTAAATTATCATCAGTAATATTCTGAGCAAAAAAAGAGAGAAGTTTGCATTTTGCAAATGAATGCTGAAGGCAAGCTTGATTTAAATACACAGAATGCCTCATTCCACTAAAGTAGCTTTACATTGGTCATAAACAATATAATCAATGTTAATGAAGAATACTGCTGCTCACCTTCCTTGTTAATTCCGAAACAAACCAATGACGTAAGAACAGATGCCTTGAAGGGATCTCCAGCAGTACTGCCGAGCCATCTTCTTAGCCTTGCTCTCCGCTGGAGGTGTCGTTGGTTGTGGACTGGTTGTCTTTGTTGTTTTTACTCTTGGTGTCACTCGAATGTTTTTTGTGGAACCTTGCCTTGCTGAATCAGGCCTTGTAGGGGCAGGACGAGGTTGAGGTCTTGGAGACCGTGCTGGTGGTCTTGCTCCTGACCTAGAAGGATCTTCAGGCGATGACCGGGAGAAGGAAGCAGATGAGAAAATCATCTGAGAGTCATTAGTTGCCTTCCTGCACATATGAGGTTGGATCTGCCTTGGTCCCTGGCAGGCATTGTAGAGCTTTCTGAGGCCCCACATCATCTGGACAAAGTAGTGACGAGGGTTTTTGTTGTAGGAGCTGCAGGTGTAAGGCTTGCCGACGTATTCACACCAGTAGGTGCGTTTGCTTCCCTGGCAAGACAGCCTCAGCCTCGTGTATTCCGCGTGACCAGTGATGATCATGGTGCACAGGTCCTTGACTTTGGTTTGAAATGTGATTTGATCATCCCAGATGCTTTGTCTCCTACTGCCTTCACTCTGAGCCTCAGCTGACCAAAGGCAGCAGGCGAGGAGTAGCAGCATAGTGCTGGTCCACATGGTGTCAGATGGATGCTGAGTGTAAGAAGAGTAGAGTGGGACTGCTGAAGCTGAGAGTCCCTCCTGCTATTTATTGGCTAAGCAGACAAAGGGGGAATTCAGGGTTTTTTTTTTAAAAGCAGTTGACTGAACGAAACTTAAATGGGGAGGAGGAAGAGAGCAGCAACGACAACAGTTATGGCTGTCTGGAGAAAGCAAGGGCCAAGGGCCTGACATGTTGACAATGATGTTCATGTTTATCCAGGAGTACAAACGGTCACACATTAAAATCCCTGAAAAACTAAATTATGTTAAATGCATTTTATAGAAAAAATTCTAGCAAACAGTCTGGTGCATTTTTCTTGCCAGATGTGGTATGTAATCATGCAAACATCATAGTTGATAATGCTCGAGTGTTTGCCCCCGTACATCTCAATTAAAAATAAATAAGTCATGGCTGAGAATATTCTCATGTAATCTCATGACTCCCGAAGTTCTTGTTTGTTTTAAAAGGAAGTTGGAGCTCAAAACCATGCAGCGTAGCCTATCATTTCCCTCCAAACATAAACGGAGTCAGACTGCACCACCTCAAAGAAACGTGAGTAGAAGCCACTCACACATGGTGGGCCATGTTTAGTGTGGAGCGTGGTAAGTAATTGCTGTGCCAATTTAGAAAGAACAAGAAATGTCTCTGTAAGACTAGGGGGGTTAGCATGGTTGTTGGGCCAGATAATGTTGGGTGGGATAGGACATGTCTTAGGTGGCTTTATTTTCAGGACCACCTGGAGTAAAAGGTCCCATTGTGAGTAAGTAAGAGCAAGTAGTCAACACATCCGGAAGAGATTTTGCTTCACTAAGTAGAGTGAAGAGAATTTTTAGGGTCTTTTAAATATATATATATATTTAAAGAAAGTTGATGTTCATAGATATACAGTACATTTAAACACAAATTAGAAATGTCTCACTGTTTTCTGAAAATAATCAACTCAATTTTTTTCAATTGTGAGTTTCTTGTTTATTCCAATAACTGTGTCACCATTTAGGATGAAGATTTGTGCCTTTTTTGATATGGCACTTTTAACCTGCACCTAACCACAAAATTATCACATACTCTTATTAGTCTTCGCTCCCCTACCCCCTGAGTGTTTGTGTTCCCCTGGGATTGCAGCATATTTACCAGCATATAACACACTTTGTCTGACTGAAGTATCGGCCTGTGTAAATGTATAGTATGCTGCCTACTGTTGTGTGTAATGTTTAGTTCAATACAGCTTTATTTATCCCTATGAGGGGAAGTTTTTTGTGTCAGTTCTTAGCACAGGGCCAAACAAATACGATAAACATGGCAAGACACTTAAATTAAAGCTGTGTGTATGTGGAGCTGCAATAATACATTGATAAATAAATAAAAAAACTATGAAGCCATAAAAATGAAGACATTTATAATGTGGGGTATTTTCTTTGCTGGCTCTCAGCTATTGAATCCTGATGATAGTAAACAGTATTATGCATTTTAATTTGTGAATGCTTTTCACCATTCCTCCTAATGTGCATTATATTATATGATTGGAGTACATGCTGGCAGTTAGTGTATGGCTCTACTCATCAATCTAAAGATAGATTGTACATAAAGTAATGTACAACTTGTGCAGAATCTTGGAAATGACTGTTCCAACACAGTGTTTGATGTGTAAATAAACACAATATAAGAGGTTTTCTCTAAACCACTGCTTGTTTTTTAAAAAAGTTTTTTTCATCTGTCTACAAGCCTGTTTAGAAGTAGGAATGAGTATGGCATGTGGTTTTGTGGTTTATTCACATACGGTTTGGTGCCTGAGAAAACCTCAGAAGGAAGCTCATGGAAGAGGATAATCATCTCCTATTGAAAATAGCTGGCCAGTAATGCAACCCAGTGGGTTCTGGGCAGCAGTGGCAGCACCACATAAGAGTGTGAAGTCTTGTGTTAAAGTCTTAAGATACAATTTGAGTTAAAATCATCTTTCATTTGGATTAAGCAAAATATTTGCCCAAATTAAAAGCATGTTATCCAAAAATGCACTGCCTATTCAAGACAACCATTCTTAGAAAGACACTAAAGTTTAAACAAAACTGAAAAAGTGTAACAGCGGAATGACAATAAATTGAATTTCAAAGTTTATTCACAATTTATACACTCTTTTTTCACCATCACATAATATGTTCCTCTTCCATCTGTGCCCAACTTTGGAGCATATTTTAAAACCAGTTACCAATGTATCTTTCCTGACACATCCATCCAGGGTTTGGATACACGATGTCTAGTTTAAGCACTTAGTAAAATCGTACAATTTTTCTCCCAAGATGGGTCACATCCAGACTCTAGCAGACAAGAAAACCACTGATAGTCCTGTCAAAGTGAGCACACAGATACTTTAAAAATGTCCATCTTAACAAGAAACTGGGTACTGAAATGAAACAAGTAAACACTGTCAACTAATATCTTATGCTAACTTTTTTTCCTGGTATGCAGTATATAGGCCTACTACGCACTGCTTGTATAGCTACTATTGCTACATATACTGTAGGATACAGTACTGTATATGTACTAGTATATGAGCTACTGTATGTAGAACAAGAAAGTTAGCTAGCGAGCTTTCTAGCATTAGCTACTAGCTAGCCTGGATCAGTATTGCAAACATGTATCTAAAATTATGAAAACTATGGGTTATTCCTTTTGATCCAATTAAAAATGGTAATTAAAAAGAGAATCATGTACATCAGATCAAATATTGTTTGTAGTTTTCAATGTTAATCAGTATTGTTGGGTCAAGTGACACAGCTTTGATGCGGTTGGCAGGGGATCAAACACTTTAGTACTGTTAAAGCGTATTCAGAGACAATGTTAACAATTTCAATGTTAAGATGGACATTACTATTTTCAGTGTGCATCAACACCATCAACTGTGTAAACCTTAAAGCATTCTACTGGTTTTCTACTATTTGATTGACTGCACTCACTGGATTGTCTAACTTATCCCCATCATTACTACGCCAATCAGACGCTGACAGCAGCTGCAAATCTAACCTGTAAACATGGAGGTGAGGTGGGTGGAAAACTGGATTGGCTTGTCCAATGCGTTAGTGATAGAGTTCAGCATATTTCAAGAAATACAAAATAAAAAATAGCTCTTGAATACATTCACTCGTTTTATATTTTTTGAATGTATCCATAGCTACTGTGGGGTTTTAAAAAGCAGAAACAAAATAAGCACATACTTGCTAGACTACTAAAGACCTGAGACCTACAGTAAAAAAGAATAATTTGGCTTGAGAAAGTATTTCTCCACTTTAAAAAGTATCATCACTGGGAAAGCAAGAACGATATCAATAAAAATGTCATGTTAGTGAACTCAACATGATAGCTTGTGTTGTTAATCTATTCATCACCTAGGGAAAAATATAAACCCGACACTTTTGTAATAGTGTGTGATGTATTAAGGACAGATGTTCTGATTTTCTAATGTGAAAGGGAAAATCCACCCTAAAATCCTTTCGTTGTTGGTGTGTTCAAATGTTGCGATGCATTTTTTGAAATAGATTTTGTTGTTTGTTTTTGTTGGTACTCCTGTGATTAACGGCCAAACATTGATGGCAGGATGTCGTGGTTAGATATTTCCAGTACATCTACAATGGAGACAGTGGTACCCAACCTGGGGGTGATGCTCCCTAAATGGTCCCAAGATAAATCTGAGGGGTCTAATGTTTATGATATTTCTTAAATTGGATATCTTTTTCGGATTTAAAAAATATTTAAATAAACCAGGCTGTGCAGAGAAAATCACTCTTTGGTCAAACCACTCAGTGAGATATATAACCTGTAAGGAGGAGCTCCAACTATAAATTGATTAATTTTAAAGGGTGACTAGACAAGATATATGGGAACCACTGGCCTAAAATGTATTTAGAATACAAACTGACATCTGCCTTACTAAACCAAAATGCAATAACAAGCCATGTTATGAATATTTGTCTTTTGTTTATAATATTTTTGTTTAAAGGCATTCTGGGAAATAAAGGAAATGAAGACCTGGCACACAGTTAAATGACAAGCAAAAGTAAAGAGTACGTTTTAAAAACGATACCACAAAATAATTCCATGTACACATCGAAAATCATAGATTGGTGATTTTTAACAGTGTAAGAGCATCTATGGGTGGATTTTCCCTTTGAGAAGAAGCACATCTGTCAAAATGCCAGGGTAACACATACTTCAGAAAGGCAACCAGTCATTTGCAATTTTCCCCAAACCAGTCAAACTCTGGATGTTTTGTAATATTGTAAACATTTTAAAAAGTCATGCTTAATTTCTTCATATTAATGACAAACATCTACCTGGGAACAAGCCGTTTCATTTTTTAAACCCACTTTGTTAAAATCATCCAGTTCTCAGTCATTAAGCACACACCCACCAATTCACACATGCTGTAGTTAAAAAGGGAGGTGCTATTTTCAACAAAACACTTTCCTCACAGTTGTATTGACAGACTGTTCCACTTTTAACATTAGCTTGTGTTGAATGTGATACATCCATTCGAAATGCAGGAGAAAACATTTCCTCTAGCAGCTTGCCACAACCTTTGGGTGACCTTTCAGTTGCTGTCTTCTTAAGCACAAACAAGTACATTAAAATGACATCCCAGTTATTGTCATGTCCTCTTGCTGAATGCATTTTCAGCTTGGTTTTGTGTCTGAACAAATGTAAACGCAGACACAGCAGTCCTTTGAAAAAAATGCAGAACAAGTCTGGCTCAGATTGATG